GCCGAGTGGGAAAGCCGGATTGCGGTAACATGGGCCCCTGGGAAAGGTTCTGGAGTCTTGGCCTGGCAGACCACTGGGAGTGAGAGTTAGGGCCTAATGGAGTGATGACTGCTCCTGTAGGCACCTCTGGTGTCCTAGGCAGCTGTCACCTGCAGGGGTGGCGTAGTCAGAGGACAGGGCACTGATGGCTATAGGGATGGGTGGGGCCCATAGTCTACAGTGGGGAGACCCCTGCTGCCTTTCCCCTCTGGGGTAGGGGGACAATTCCACGGTACATGTGGAAGATCTTGGTCAGCTGGAGAATGTTGACTGGCCAGGGTGGTGCCCAGGTGCCTGTCAGCCAGCGTGCCCTCTGCTTCGCCCTGCAGGAGGTGGATGCCAGTGTGGTACATGAGGTCTGCTCCAAGTACCTCTATGACCAGTGTCCAGCAGTGGCTGGATTGGGTGAGTGACCTAGAAAGTCTGCTCCTTATCTTTTTCCTGAGGCCATTCTCTTGGTCTCCCCTTGTGCCTCTTCTTGCCCACACCCCAGCCTACACTGAGAGCAGCAAGTTAAGGCCCCAAAAGGTTCTCCCCAGTAGCCTGGCTGCCAGGGAGTTCTTGCTCAGAAAACCTGTCCCAACAGCTCCCTGACTCCTTGCCAAGGTTCCTCCATCAGTGCCCCACACCCGCCAGGTAACGGGCATCTCTCAGTGTAGGGTGGGGCTCCAAGGGCCTGAGCGTGAAGGGACAGGCTCAGCACCCCTGGGGGAATGTTCTCTTCCCTCTTTCTACTCAAGGCCTGTCTTGTGCTGCTCTGGGCAGCAGCTCTGAGCTGGGTGCGGCACAGGGCCAGGTGTCCCTGTACAGGCCAGGTACCCCGCCCTGACGCCCCACCTTATCCCCACAGGCCCCATTGAGCAGCTCCCAGACTACAACCGGATCCGTAGCGGCATGTTCTGGCTGCGCTTCTAGGCAGGACGCCTGTGCTGGCAAGAAGGCGTGGCTGGGGCTCAAGGTCCCCCCACCACAAACATACCACTCTGGCTCCTCAAACTTGTGCTTTAGGTTACCACCAATAAAGTCCTCTGCTGAGAATTGTGTTGTCTATCTTTTGGCATTGGCGTGGAGTCCACTGGGCAGTAGATGGGGGAGCAAGGATTTCCCTCCTGTTCAGCATCCCCTGGATCCCTCAGCCTTCCCACAGGCTGATGTGTTCTCGGCCAGGGGCAAGCGTGGGGGCAGCAGCACAGGCCGGCCGGAAGCCTTTGATGCCTGTGGGGAGCTGAGCCCAGATGTTTCCACTCAGCCACATAGGGGGACATTCCTCAGCTAGCCTGTCCCAGGAGTGGGGCGTAGGCGTCCACAGGAACTGCAGACTTAGCCTTTGCCCCGGCAGGGGTCCTAGCCTGGAAACCCTGGGGGTTCAGGTGGGAAACCCCTCACTGTGGTCCCTCACAGGGACCCTCTGGTGGTCTCTGGCCTTCTGGGATGGAGCAGGAGGGGCTGAGGGCTGTTCCTGAGGATGCCTCCTTGTCTGTTTACTCTGGATTCTGGAGGAGGATAGCCTGAGGCATAGTGTTCCCATTGGTTTATAACTGCTGCCTGGACAGGCAGGGCAAGAATCCTTTGCCTCCGCTGACTCAGGCTCCAAGAATATCCCTGAGCTCAGTGGGGCCCAAGCCCCCTCCCTCGACTAGGTCTGTCCCAGGCAAGTCCTGAGCTGCTGGCTTAATGATCCCCTCCCCATTTTCCTGAGGCAGCCAAGACCTGGTGGAGCTCTCAGCCACCTAGTCCCTCTGTTACCTCTTTTGGGCCCTGGTCCACAAGGCAGGTGGGCCCCTCTTCTTGCACCCTCCAGTTCTTCCAGGTCAGGTTCCTTGGGAGCCCAGTTCTCCTTTGAGGAAGTTGCTGTTCGGCAGTTGTGAGCAGGGTCCTGGGACACGGTTCATGTGCAAGAGGACGATTCAGAAGTCCCCTAGCATCCTAGCGTGGAAGTAGCCCAAACAACCCTTATCACTCGCACACTGCCCCAGTGCCTTTCCCTCATCATTTGCTGCCACAGATTGTCTATTAGGAGACATCTGTCAAGAGCCTTCTATAACCAGGACTGAGGCACTTGGCAGATCATCTTCCTACTCTGCTGGGGAGAATCTGCTGGACAGTGCAGAACCCTGACAGGCCCAACCCTGGCTGCTTGGAGAGATGTAGCACCCAGGCAGGGGGAACAAGTGCCGAGTCTGGTGCCCCAAGTTTGAGCTCCTGGAGGATGAGGCTTGATTGCTCTTTTAAGCCCCATGCCTGACCCTCAAAGGCTACAGGTGTGCTGGACGTGAGAGAGCTCGAGTTGCTGGGAGTGATCTAGTCCTGACCTACCTTGTGCACCAGGCCAAGGAATTTGGTCTTCACCCGGGAGGCATGTTGGGGAAGTTCATTGGAGGTTACTGTGAAGAGAAGTGACTTCATCAGAACTGAAATTTAGCACTGGGACTCTCAGGCTGTGTTTCTGTGGCAGTCCTGGGGAGCCGTGCTGTGGCAGAGCAGAGGTCATGGCCACGGGAAGAGCTGGAGTGGGCTGCAGGGCCACAAGCAAGACAACGTTCCCAGTGGGGCTGGGAGGCCCCAGGGAGGAGTGGGTTGGAGGAAGATGACCTGCCATGGTTCTGGTGAGGAGTTGGAGGTGTTCAGGACACAGTAGGATGTGTAGGGCTGGAACCTCGAAAATAGGCCCTGGTTGGAGACACGTGTAGTGCCATCTGGCAGAGGTGGTGACTGAAACCAGGGAAGGAAACGTTCAGAAAAGTGCGGGAGGGAGAAAGATGAGCTCTGGGGGCCCCACTGATGGAGGGAGTTGTAGGTAGGCACTGGCCCTGGGCTGTGCCCTAGGCTGTGCGCCTGCCAGGAGGCTGGAGCCAGTGGCCTCAGAGGGCAACACCCCTGCTCTAGAGTCCATGGGAGCTCCAGATTTGCACCCATCCCAACCTCGCTTCTCCCTTCCCAACAGCCTCTCCCAGCATGCTTTGAGTGACCCTCTCACAGAAGCCCTTCCTTTTTTGAAGGGGCACCTCAGATCTGATGAGATTGGCCTGAACACCCTCTCAGCTGGGCCTCCAGACTCCCCTAAAGGCTGGACCCATGTGTACAAGCCCTGCCCTGCTCTCGCCCACCCTTGCTGTGCAGAAGGAGGTGTCAGGGGGCAGGGGCTGCTCTTGTGATGATAGCATGCCTGGTTCTCTGCCCTCACCTGGAGCACACTTTGCGGGGGTGGGGGGTCCTGGGACATGGCTGAGGAGACCCTGATCTTGGAAAAAGATTCTAGGCCCCATGGGGTCACAGCACTGTGTCCCAGGATAGTTGGAGAGGGGGCAATAGTTAGGGGCAGCTCTAGCCTTCCTGGGCAATAGGAAAGCAGACAGCATGGATGGTTCTCACTGCCCCCAGCTCTGGCCATACCAGGGAGCTCTCCAGCTGTGGAGGAGTCCAGGGGAGACAAATGTAACAGAAGTGCTGTCCCCATATCTCCCCACTCAGCCAGTGGATCCCAGGGGAGGCTGCAAGTCCAGGCATATTGGAAGGGGCACAGTGGCAGTGGTGAGCATAGACGTGCTTTCTGGGCTACCCAGAATTATCCAGCACTGGCAGGGGAAAAAAGGGAGTGGGGTCCAGATGGGGGCCTGCTCTTTTTGGGGGTGTCTTTCTGCCTTGGAGTCACCCACCTAATGAAGAGATGTGCATACACAAATATTCACCTCCTCGGGATAGGGGCCTGGCCCTGACATGGGAGTGTGTGTTGGGGGGCACTGTCCACAGTTATAGAAGCCAATGAGGGAGATGGGTAGGAAGTCAGTCTATTAAGAGGAGAGAAGTGAGGCAGAGGGCAAGGAGGCAGTTATGAAGGGGGAGCTACAGGTTCTGTGAGGGCGGTGAGGAAAGGAGGGAGGGGCCCAGGGTGACCTCTGGGCCTGATGGGGTAGCTTGGCGGAAGGGTCTACAGGAAGAACAGATTGAAGGAGAGGATGCCTGTGGGCCAGAATGAGGACATATAGGTAAGGGGGACCTGGCCTGGGGCATGGACAGCTCTACCAGTGGGTCCTGGGCAGGAGGGGGTGAATTTCTGAGAGATGAGCTGTCACTGTGGGTGGTCCCACCCTCCACATATGGGCAGCCCCCCTCCTGCAGGCACAGCTGGATGGTAACTGAGACTGGTTTAAAGCCTAGCAGGGGGTGTGGGGCACGTATGCATAAGCATGATACAGGTTCTCCCCTCCTCCTGGCATAACCCTCCAAAGAGGGGCTGCCTTACTTGGACCCAGTCCAACAGGGCCTTGGTTTCCCTAGGATGGGCCCAGAGTCCCTCATTTGCTGGAGGTTGCTCCCCCTGTCAAGGGGATTGGCGGGGGTGGGGGTGGGGCACAGGAGGCCCACCAGACAGGGATGGCTGAATCACAGGAGTGGCCGGGACCCATGCCCTAAGGGCTTGTCTAGGCATCCTCACAGGGTTGGGGGTGAGTCACCACCAGCTGCAGCCTCCCCCTACCACGGTGCTGCTGCCTCTTTGGTTTGCAGAAACAGGTCCACATTTCAGCCTCCAGCAGTCCCTTCACTGGTCACTCTGTTACCTACCCAAAGCAACCAGGACCTATGTCCCTAGATGGGGTTAGGGGGCTCCTGCAGCATCTGTCTGTGAGAACCTGGGGGATTACCAGAAGCCACGAGGCGGGGCGGGAGGGGGTGTTTAAACTTAAGTGCGTCATATCATCTGTCCAGGGGAGGGGTGGGGGGGCGACCTCTGGGGATGTGGGTGAGGGCGGGCGTCTGGGTCCCCGCCCGAGGCTCCGCCCCCTGGGATCAGGGACTTTTCTGTGCTCTGCCGGCGGCACTGCAGCGGCGGCGGTGGGAGCTGGCGGACTTGCAGGCAAGACAAGGACTCAGGGTGGAGGGGCGCTGGGCTCGGACCCGCCAAAGCCGCGGGGGCCAAGGGACAGAGCGGGAGTCCCAGCTGACCATTTCTACCACCCAGGATGAGCCTGCGGCTCCTGGTGGCCACGCTCTGCGCAGGGATCCTGGCGGGGGCGCCCCGAGTGCTGGCCCAGCACAGGGAGAGAGGTGGGCACGGCTAGGAAGGGCCCCGTCTGGGGCACTGCACCGTGTCACCCACGGCTCCACTCGACCTTCATCCCCGACACCCCCGTCCACCTCCACGACCCCCGCGGATTCCTCCTAACTCTCCTCGGACTCCCCGAACTCGTCGCGATTGTGCTGGGTTCCCTAAGCCGCCTCCTATCCTGTTCGGACCCAAATTCTGGCTCCCCGAACGCGCGATGGGTCCCCTACCTTATGCCACCTGGCGCTGGCCCCTAGAGGCTGTGACCTCAGTCCCAGACCCACACCCGTGCCGGCGGCTCTCCCTCCCCCCCACGCCCCAACCCTCCGCGGAGAGTCTGCGCTGGGGCCCACCCGCCTCCTTCCCAGGCCCACAGGCCGGGTTTGCACAAACAGATGCGGCCTATGCTCCACCTATCCCCGCAGGCCCAGGGGCCCACAGTGCGGGGAGGGGGTGGGTGGGCTCCCAGAAGAGGTCTTGATCTCTCCTCCGTGCCCCAGTGACCTGCACGCGCCTTTACGCGGCTGACATCGTGTTCCTACTCGACGGCTCCTCATCCATTGGCCGCAGCAATTTCCGAGAAGTCCGCGGCTTTCTGGAGGGGCTGGTGCAGCCTTTTGCTGCGGCAGCCAGTGCACAGGGGGTGCGCTTTGCCGCGGTACAGTACAGCGATGACCCACGGTGAGTCGTGGCCCTGGGGACTGGAGACCAGGAGATCCCACCAAGTCCCCTTCCACAGACAGGGCGGAGAGCCCAGAAACCCCAGGCCAGGTTCTTCCTGAAACAGGTTTTGAGGAACCAAGAGACCCCCTAGCCAAGGCCTCCTCTGGAGACAGAGGTAGGGATTCCCTAGGCAGAGCCCTCATGCCCAGAAACACCTCCAGGCTAGTGCCCTGCCAAAGACTGGGAGGCTGTGTTTTCTGACCTGCAGAGGGGGAGCCCAGGAGGGAGCCCAGGGGCCCGGGGCCCCGTGCCTGTTGGCCTCTCCACGTTTTAGCCTCCTAACCCCTTCAGCCTCTCAGTTCACCAGGAGGGCTCCCTGTCTGACTAACATCCCCCTTTCTACAACTGAGCCCTTCCTCCTTCAAGTATTTAATTCAGCAGACATCCTGTCCCCCTAGGCTGTGAGCCTAGGGGAGTTTGACTTGGGGGCTATAGAGGTGGGGAGCAGAAATGACAGAACCAAGAGACCCTCAAAAGGGTCTTATACCCACAACTGTGACCCCAGAGGCCTCCTAAAGGCCAGAGTCAGAAGAGGTCCTGACCCCTAGCCTGTTGCCCCTCCCTCCTCCTCCCAACAGGACAGAGTTCGGCCTGGATGCACTTGGCTCTGGGGGTGATGTGATTCGTGCCATCCGTGAGCTCAGCTACAAGGGGGGCAACACTCGTACAGGGGCTGCAATTCTCCATGTGGCTGACCATGTCTTCCTGCCTCAGCTGGCCCGACCTGATGTCCCCAAGGTGATGCCTAACCCTAACCATGCCTTCCAAGGTCATCCCAAATTAAGTGTCCAAGGAAGTCCTGACTTGACCTCTACCTCTGTCCCAGGTCTGCATCCTGATCACAGATGGGAAGTCCCAGGACCTGGTGGACACAGCGGCCCAAAGGCTGAAGGCACAGGGCGTCAAGCTGTTTGCTGTGGGTGAGTACAGGGCTGGGGTGATAGATCAGCTGGGGTGAGGACCAGTGGACGACTAAGTCCTAATTGGGCATCACCTCAGGGATCAAGAATGCTGACCCTGAGGAGCTGAAGAGGATTGCCTCGCAGCCAACCAGTGATTTCTTCTTCTTCATCAATGACTTCAGCATCTTGAGGACACTACTGCCCCTTGTTTCCCGGAGAGTGTGCACGACTGCTGGCGGCGTGCCTGTGACCCTGCCTCGTGAGTTCCCGCCCACATTGCGTATCCTGACCTGGACCCCTGCCCCCAACCCCAACCTGGGAGTGCTGATTCCATCCTATGTTCTCCTGACCCCTGACCCCAACCCCACACCATAAGTGCTGACTCTGATTCTCCTACCTGGTTCCCCCATTCTCAGCTGATGACTCAACTTCTGGTCCACGGGACCTGGTGCTGTCTGAGCCAGGCAGTCAATCCTTGAGAGTACAGTGGACAGCGGCCAGTGGCCCTGTGACTGGCTACAAGGTCCAGTACACTCCTCTGACAGGGCTGGGACAGCCACTATCGAGCGAGCGGCAGGAGGTAGGATGTCAGGAGTGATAGGTGGGTGGCTGGGGACTTGGCTGGGCAAGATGAGGTAACCTTTGGCCCTGGGCAGGTGAACGTCCCAGCTGGTGAGACCAGCTTGCGGCTGCAGGGTCTCCGGCCACTGACCGAGTACCAAGTGACTGTGGTTGCCCTCTACGCCAACAGCATCGGGGAGTCCGTGAGCGGGACAGCTCGGACCAGTGAGCAATTCTGCCAACCTCTGAGCCCCTTCACCTAACCTCCCCAGTAACCCTCCCCACCTCCACTAATCCCTGGTGGGACCTTCCCCCAGCTGCCCTGGAGGGGCTGGAGCTGACCATCCAGAACACCACAGCCCACAGCCTCCTGGTGGCTTGGAGGAATGTGCCAGGTGCCACTGGCTACCGTGTGATGTGGCAGGTCCTTGGTGGTGAGTGAGGGGTGTGGGCTGAGGGGAGTCCCTGCTCCTCAGACAAGATTGTTGATTCCTGAGTCTGTAAGGCCCATTGACCCCTCTATGCCCCCGATACAGGTGGGGCCACACAACAGCAGGAGCTGGGCCCTGGGCAGGGATCAGTGTTGCTGCGTGACCTGGAGCCTGGCACGGACTATGAGGTGACCGTGAGCACCCTGTTTGGCCGTAGCGTGGGGCCTGCCACTTCCCTGACTGCCCGCACTGGTGAGAAGGCTGGGCACATTCTTCAGGCTGGGGTAGGCAGACGGGGCAGGGGCACAGAGGCCACTGACATCCCATGTGCCCTGGGCAGACACCTCCGTTGAACAGATCCTGCGCCCAGTCATCCTGGGCCCCACATCCATCCTCCTTTCCTGGAACTTAGTGCCTGAGGCCCGTGGCTACCGGTTGGAGTGGCGGCGTGAGAGTGGTCAGTGCAGGGACGAGGGGTGGGCAGACAAGAGTTGGGGCTTGGCCTCAGCTGGCCTGACCCTGTCATCTTGCAGGCTTGGAGCCACCACAGAAGGTGGTGCTGCCCTCTGCTGTGACCCACTACCAGTTGGATGGGCTGCAGCCAGGCACTGAATATCGCCTCACGCTCTACACTCTGCTGGAGGGCCGTGAGGTGGCCACCCCTGCAACAGTGGTCCCCACTGGTGAGGGCTCTGTGGGCCTAGACAAGTGAGTGAGGAAGGTGTGGGAGCCCCAGGCCACCTCTCAGGCTGTGCTCTCCAACAGGGCCAGAGCCACCCGTGGGCCCTGTGACAGACCTACAAGCAACCGAGCTGCCTGGGCAGCGGGTGCGAGTGTCCTGGAGCCCAGTCCCCAGTGCCACTGAGTACCGCATCACTGTGCGCAGCACCCAGGGTGAGGTGGATGCGGCCAGCACCCCCGCACACACTAAAGTTCCCTCCCATGGGGTCTGAATGCATCTTCACCCCCTCTCCTTCCACTCCTGGGTCCCTATAGCCTCCTGTCTGTCTCCTTGTCCATTCACCACCCAAGATGGCACTGAGCCCAGAGCTGTCACAGGGTCTGTCTGCCCCCTTCTCTGGCCCAGCCTGTCTCCTTACCTGGGTCTAGCGCCACTCCCTACCCTATGTTCCTGTCCATGGCCTTCCTTCTCCACAACCACAGCTCAGGATGGAGCTCCCTCCATCCCTGCTCCCATGGCCGTTCCAGCTGTGACCCCAGCTGTGACCACTGTCCACACTGACCTCTGCCTTCCCACATCAGTGGCTTGTCAACTCACAATGCTGTCCACTGACTCCTGTCATCCTACATGATCACTGACCCCTACATCCAGTGTCCATCCATCACTGGCCCCTTTCATCCCATGTTCTTGGTGTCTGCTCGCCCTTTCCAGCGGTATCCGATCTCTCGGAGACCCCCACCATCCCACATCCCATCCCCCAGGACGCTTTTCATCCTGTATCCCTGTCCATCACTGACGCCATCATCCCGCATCCCTGTCTCTTACTGACCCCTGCCTGCCTGTGCTGCCTTCTCCCTCAGGGGTTGAGCGGACCCTGGTGCTTCCCGGGAGTCAGACAGCCTTCGACTTGGATGACGTTAGGGCTGGGCTTAGCTACACCGTGCGGGTGTCGGCTCGAGTGGGCCCCCGAGAGGGTGGTGCCAGCGTCCTCACTGTCCGCCTGGGTGAGCACTGCAGGAGGCTTGTGGGGGAACAGCTGCTTGACTCACTCTGGTCCTAGTCCTGACCTCTGACCTCTGTCTTTAACCCTTAGAGCTGGAAATCCCACCTGCTGTGCCGGGGCTGCGGGTTGTGGTGTCAGATGCAACACGAGTGAGGGTGGCCTGGGGACCTGTTCCTGGAGCCAGTGGATTTCGGATTAGCTGGAGGACAGGCAGTGGTCAGTGTGGGGTGTGGGGGAGGATTGCTAAGGGGAACAACCAGGTTATAGGAGACAGAGGGGACAGGCAGGAGCCATGCCAGCATTTCCCTCTGGTCCTAGGTCCAGAGTCCAGCCAGACATTGCCCCCAGACTCTACTGCCACAGACATCACGGGGCTGCAGCCTGGAACCTCCTACCAGGTGGCTGTGTCGGCACTGCGAGGGAGAGAGGAGGGCCCCCCAGTGGTCATCGTGGCTCGAACTGGTCAGAGCCTGACCTAGTCCCTTGGCTCTCTGCCTCCGGTGCCCCTTCAGACGTCCATGCCTCCCCTCGCAGACCCTTGCTTCTCCCTAGAACTCTGGCCTCCCCTTTCAGAGTCCCTCTGCCTCCTCCCTCAGAGCCTGCTCTCCCCTTCGGCCTCTGTTGCCTCCCTTCTCCAACTACCCTGCCTCTCTTTGCCCTGGAATTTCCACCACCTCACCTTTCAGAACCTGTTCACCTATTTTGCCGGACCCAACTCTCCTCTTAGACTTACGCTTTCTCCTTTGTCAGACCCCTCACTGCCTCCATCGGGCACCCCCCTTCTCTGTGGGACCTTGTTGTCTCTCAGAGTCCTGTCGGCTGCCATCACAGATTCCCACTTTCCCCTCTGTCAGAACCCCCACTCCTTCCCTGTCTGACCGCTTTGTTGCCCCGGTCTCCTGTGGGACTCCTGTAGACTTCCCTTCTCAGATTGCCTCCACCACCTCCCTCATCAGACCCTCGCCTGCCTCCCCCATCGGACTGCCCATTACCTCTCCCCTTAGACCCACTGGGCCCAGTGAGGACAGTCCGTGTGACTCAGGCCGGCAGCTCATCTGTCACCATTGCCTGGACCAGGGTTCCTGGAGCCACGGGATACAGAGTTTCCTGGCACTCAGGCCATGGTGGGGACCAGGGGTTTGAGAGGGTCATGGGGGGCAGGCCTGGGTGGAATGGGGTCCTGGTGTTTCTTGGGGGGTCCAGGTAGGGCACTGGGGGACAGAGTCTGGCTAGCCCTGGAGCTGCCTCCATCCCTGCCCCCAGGCCCAGAGAAATCCCAGTTGGTTTCTGGGGAGGCCACGGTGGCTGAGCTGGATGGGCTGGAGCCAGATACCGAGTATACAGTGCATGTGAGGGCCCATGTGGCTGGTGCGGATGGGGCCCCCGCCTCTGTGGTTGTGAGGACTGGTGAGTGGACCCTGGCCAGCTGCCAGCCACACCTCATTGACTACCCCACCCTGCTGTGCATTCCTGACTACTCCGTCTGCCCCCTCCATCACTGCTCAGTGAACCTCCCCCGCCCCACATTGACTAAGTGTCCACCCATGGTGACATCCTGGCTGCCCCACACTGCCCACTCCAAGGCACTAACCTCATCCCTTTTAGGGTCACCTACACTGATCTGTCCACACTAACTTCATGCTGACCTTCAGGCTTCCCCTGCACTAACCATGCCTGCACTGCCACCCTGTTCTCTGCAGACACCCAATGACCCCTGACCCCTTACTTTACCTCTGTCCCTAGCCCCTGAGCCTGTGGGCAGTGTGTCGAGGCTACAGATCCTCAATGCTTCCAGCGACGTTCTGCGGGTCACCTGGGTAGGGGTCACTGGAGCCACAGCCTACAGACTGGCCTGGGGCCGGACTGAAGGTATGACTCCCTGACTGTGCCCATGTTTTTCCTGGCTGGGATTGCCCTCTCCGGACAGCCACCTCCACCCCTGACCGTTGCTGTATGCTCACCTGGCCAGGTGGCCCCACGAGACAACAGCTGCTCCCGGGAAACACAGACTCCGCAGAGATCCGAGGCCTCGAAGGCGGAGTCAGCTATTCGGTGCGAGTGACTGCACTTGTTGGGGACCGCGAGGGCGCCCCTGTCTCCATTGTCGTCACGACTCGTAGGTGGAGTTTGGGCTGGAGCTAGCCTTGGATGGGTGGTTTGGGGGAGCCGGCTTTGTGCTCCGGACTGGAAAAAGGACCGGGATTGGTAGTGAGCCTGTGGGGGCGGAGTCTGAGGGGAGAGGAAAGATGAAGGCTGGACGGATAAAGAGGGGCCGGCTGGGGGCGGTGCGTGTGTCAGTGTTGGCCTGGGATTGGCGCACGGGCCAATAGGGGAGGAGCCTTCCTGATTCCCGCGCTTTTGCTCCAGCGCCTGAGGCTCCGCCAGCCCTGGAGACCCTTCGTGTAGTGCAGCGTGGGGAGCACTCGCTGACGCTGCGCTGGGAGCCGGTGCCCGGAGCGCACGGCTTCCGTCTGCGTTGGCGACCTGAGGGTGAGAGGTGCCCCAGTAGGAAGTTAGGGACCAATAACGGCAGGGGTGTGGTCGGAGACGTCGAGGTGGGCGAGGTCAGTGCGGTGGGCAGGGTCTGTTTGTCACTGGGGGCCTGCAGGATCGGTGACGGTAGGTAGGCTCAATCACCGAAGTGGGCATCAGTGAGGTCATAGAGGGTCAGTCAGGCAGGGTCAGTAAAGTGGGCAGATTCAGTGAGACTGAGGAAGCTCAATTGGAAGGGTGGACCCGGCTAACAGAGTCAGTCATTGAGGTGGGCGGGTCCCCTAACACCGGAGCTACCATCCTCCCACATGCTCCTGGCCTGCACCCTCACCCCTGCCCCAGGTGGCCAGGAACAGTCCCTGGTCCTGGGACCGGAGCTCAGCAGCTACCACCTGGATGGACTGGAGCCAGCGACACTGTACCGTGTGTGGCTCAGCGTCCTGGGGCCGGCTGGAGAAGGGTCCTCCAGAGAGGTGACTGCACACACTGGTAAGCCCAGAGGGCCCACCTCGCCTTGGTGTGCTCCCCCCCCACTATGGCCCACCCTGATTTCTTGCACCCCAGACTGAGTGATTCCTCCTATAGCCGCCCACCCACCCTCTGATGCTAGGTGATCCCAGCATGACATTCCATGACACTGCCCAAAGATGAACCAGACCCAAGACCTCAGATCTCTCCCCTTTGGGTTCTTAGGATGCAGCCTCTGATCCCTGATCTTTCATTCTTCCTTCAGAGTCGCCTCGTGTTGCGAGCACTGAACTACGTGTTGTGGACACCTCGATCGACTCGGTGACTCTGGCCTGGACCCCAGTGTCTGGGGCATCCAGCTACATCCTGTCCTGGCGGCCACTCAGAGGCCCTAGCCAGGGTGAGGGGGAGCCAGGGTTGGGGTGGGCTGGCAATAGGGGTTCCATGGAGGACCTCCTGTTTAACCGAGTTATGTCCTCTGCAGAAGTGCCTGGGGCCCCACAAACACTTCCAGGGATCTTGAGCTCTCAGCGGGTGACAGGGCTAGAGCCTGGCGTCTCTTATGTCTTCTCCCTGACACCTGTCCGGGGAGGCGTGCAGGGTCCTGAGACCACTGTCACACAAAGCCCAGGTATGGTGGGCACAGTGTGAAGGGCCTAAGTGGGTGGCTGGATGGGCTGACCACTTCAGTAACTTTGCCCGCTTCTGCAGTGTGTCCCCATGGCCTGGCGGATGTGGTGTTCCTACTGCATGCCACTCGAGACAATGCTCATCGGGCAGAGGCTACGAGGCGTGCCCTGGAGCGTCTGGTGTCTGCACTTGGGCCTCTTGGGCTACAGGCGGTCCAGGTTTGGCTCTAGAGGCAGGCAGACCCCTACCTCTCCCTGCCCCTCGCCAACCCGGGTTTCACGCCAGTTACTATCTCCTACCCCAGCATATGTTCAGGCTTTCAATTAACTTTTTTCTGAGATGGAGTCTCACTCTGTCACCCAGGCTGGAGTGCAGTAGTACGATCATAGCTCACTGCAGCCTTGAACTTCTGGGTTCAAGTGATCCTCCCGCCTCAGCCTCCCAAGTGGCTAGGATTATAGGCACACGCCACTGTGCTCAGCAGGTTCTGGCTTTCTCCCAGCTGTCCCCCAGGCTCCAGTTCTTCTCGCCTGCTGGTTGGCTCCCTAACCTACTATCATTGCTGACCCCCTAATAAATAGTTCAGGTTTAGTCACACACACACCCCTCTGTCTCTGTGTTTCTCCAAACTCTGCACACCCCCATCCCTGCTCTGTCATCCTTGCCAGGCTCTGTGTCTCCCCTGACCCTAGGTTGGCCTGCTGTCCTACAGTCACCGGCCCTCCCCACTGTTCCCACTGAATAGCTCCTATAACCTTGGCATCATCTTGCAAAAGATCCGTGACATCCCCTACATGGACCCAAGTGGGAACAACCTGGGTGAGGACTATAGTGGGCACAGACTCCTGGGGCTACCCACTGGGAGCTTGATGCCCCAGGGTTCTGACATGTCTTTCCTTCCAGGCACAGCCGTGGTCACAGCTCACAGATACTTGTTGGCACCAGATGCTCCTGGGCGCCGCCAACATGTGCCAGGGGTGATGGTTCTGCTAGTGGATGAGCCCTTGAGAGGTGACATATTCAGCCCCATCCGTGAGGCCCAGGCTGCTGGTGAGGAGTAGGACTGAGGGGGATGCGGCCTGGGTGTAGGGGTGGCCCCAGCGGGGTTGTCATGCAGGCTGCCGGACCCTCCTTAGGGCTCAAAGTGATGATCTTGGGCATGGTGGGAGCTGACCCAGAGCAGCTGCGTCGCTTGGTGCCAGGCATGGATCCTGTCCAGACCTTCTTTGCTGTGGATGATGGTCCCAGCCTGGACCGGGCAGTCAGTGACCTGGCAGGAGCCCTGTGTCAGGCATCCTTGGCTACTCAGGTTTGGAAGCAACCTCTGGGGAACTAAGTGGTGGAGAAGAAGGGGTCTGGGGTTCCTTGGTAGAAATGCTCAGCCTCAAAGAGACCCTGTGTCCACAGCCACGGCCAGAGCCTTGCTCAGTGCATTGTCCAAAGGTAAGTGTCCAGGGTTGAGAGTGTGGGTGAAGGCCACACCTGGGACTAACTCTGACCCTCATCTAACATGTCTTTCCCCAGGGCCAGAAGGGGGAACCTGGAGAGATGGTGAGTAGTCCTGGTGAGAGGTAGAAAGTGGGTTGGGCATCAGCAGGGCAGGGGAAGTTGACAGCACAGAGCTTACTGATAACCATTTCCAGGGCCTGAAAGGACAAGCTGGACCTCCTGGCGCCCCCGGCCTCCCGGTGAGTGCCCCCCACACCAGTCCCTTTGCCCTGACTGGGTACTGCGTCCTTACCTGCTCTCTTCTCTCAGGGCAGGACTGGTGCTCCTGGCCCCCAGGGGTCCCCTGGAAGTCCCCTTACAAAGGGCGAGAGGGTGAGTATGGAGACTTTTCTCAGCGTTTTTAGGAACGAGAAGGAAGAAGCAGTTAGGATTCCAAGGTGTTCCTAGGGGGCCAAGGGGAGCTTATACACCACACCAGAGACTTTGGGGGAGGCTCTGAATTAGGGGGCCAGTGGGGCTCTGAGATCTGTGTCCCAGAGGCAGGGAAGGCCTTTGCCTTATCACTGCCCTTGTCCTGGGATTGAGCTCTATTCAGCTCCAAGAGGCCACTTCTCTGCCCCCTATTCCACCACCAACAGTACTTGGGGGCCTGTGGGGTAGGGGGCCCCTGGTTGATGGGGCTTCTCCAGGAAACCAGGGGCATTGGGGGAGGGTCCCTTCCTGCCCTGACCTCTTTGCCTCCTTAGGGATCCCCTGGAGCTGATGGGCTTCCAGGCAGCCCTGGCCGCCCCGGGACTCCTGGGACCCCTGGCCCGAAGGTGAGCAAGCCTTGCCCGTGGGGGCCAGGGTGGACACTCTGGTGAATGGGTGGGGTGGTTCTGACTGTTCTGACTCTGGCCTCCATCTGCAGGGCTCCCCAGGGTGGCCTGGCCCTCGTGGGGAAGCGGTAAGATGCCTTCCCTCCTGTGCTGTCCTGGAGTTCTCCCAGGGTTCTTTCCATGGGGCAGTGGTGCAGTGTTGGCCCGTGGGGCCCGCCCTGACACTCACCCGAGCCCAAGCACCACCCTCTGCTATGTTTTCTTCTCAGGGGGAGCGAGGACCTCGAGGCCCAAAGGGGGAGCCGGTAGGTGATGAGGGAGGGAAGGGAGGGGCCAGGATGTCCCAGAGAGGAGCGGGGCTGCCCCAGGCCAGAGGCGTGCAGCACCTGAGATGTGATAAGGAATTGCTGGGGCTCATCCAGGGCTTCTGCCTCGGGGCACCCATGTCCCGAGTCCTACCCACTGCTCTCTGCCCCTACAGGGGGCTCCTGGACGAGTCATTGGAGGCGAGGGACCTGGGCTTCCTGGGCAGAAAGGAGACCCTGGACCTTCGGTAAGTTCAGGGTATGTGGGGGCAAGTGATGTGTGCTGGGGGGACTTGCAAGAGGGGGTGAGAGTGGGCTCTGTGGGGTTGGTCCTTATACTTTGTCTCCTCCATCAGGGCCCCGCTGGACCTCGTGGCCCAGTGGGGGACCCAGGACCCCGTGGTACCCCAGGGCTTCCTGGAACAGCTGTGAAGGTGACAGCTTCATGACCTCCATGTGATTCAGAAACCTGGTGACCCCATTTGGATCCACATAACCCCTACTGGTTGCTCTGAGCCATGTGACCCTTTGACCACCCCCATTCCCCACCATGACTCCTCAATCCACTGTGCCTCTCATCCCTCCTGGTGTCTGTGGGAGGAATTGCGGCCCAGGGTCATAGGGTCATGATCTGTTTTCCAGGGTGACAAAGGCGATCGTGGGGAACGGGTAAGTGAAGGACAAGGTATACTGGGGGTGGCTTAGAGTCTGATTCCCTGGACCACTCCCTGACCTGCTGTTCTCTTCCAGGGTCCACCTGGACCAGGTGTTGGTGGCACTGCTCCTGGGGAGCCCGGGCTGCCGGTGAGGGGCACTTGAGCCTCTGCTGGGGAACCCACTCAGGGCTATGGGCAGAGGGACTGGGGGCTAAGCTAGGGGGGGTGGTTGGGTGCTGGACTTCATAGTTCTTGGCTCGCATTCTTACTTCCTCCTAGGGTCTTCCTGGGAGCCCTGGACCCCGAGGCCCAGTTGGCCCCACTGGAGAGAAAGGAGAAAAGGTAGGAAACCTGACCTCTGAGTGCCCCAGTTCTGGGGCAGGGGGCTGGGTGCTGGGGCAGGGCCTCCCTTAGGCCTTCCTACCCATCCATGTGTTTCTCTTTCAGGGTGACTGTGAGGATGGAGCCCCAGGCCTCCCGGGACAACCTGGGACCCCGGGTGAGCCGGTGAGTGTAAGGGCAGGAGCTCTGAATGTGGTGGGCATAGCTCCAGCCCCCACCCTTGGCCATTAACCACACTGCTCCATTCTTATGCCCAAGCCCAAATCTCTGAACCTCCAAATTCATCCCTTCCAGGGCCTACGGGGACCTCTTGGAATCACTGGCCCCAAAGTGAGTACCAATGGGGGGGGCCAGGTGTGAGGGGTGCTACTCGGGAACCCCCATGGTGTTAGGGGAGGCTGGAAGATCAGGAGGTGAGGGTTCTCTCCAGGTCAGAGGTGGTGCTTTCAGAGGTGGGTGGTTGGAGTTTGAGATACCTTGTCTGGGGTCTGACTGTCAAGTCAAGGCCCACCTCCTCTTCTCTCTCTCCTTAGGGTGACCGGGGGCTCACAGGGGCCCCAGGTGAGATTGGAGAGAAGGTAAGTGCAGCCTGGGGGGCCTCAGGGCCCCCAAAGAACTGGGGCCAGACTTGGCTCTGACCTCTTCTGTTCTATCAGGGCGAACGTGGACCTGCTGGCCCAGTGGGACCCCAGGTAAGCCCCCTGGCCAGCTGTGTCAGCAGACCTGGGCTCTGTGCCTGTCCTGGTTCTGACTTTTTGCCCTTGACCCCCACTGCCCCTGCCCCTCACCCCTCCTCACGTGACTCCTAAACCCTGCTGATACAGGCTCTAGCCCTCAACCCAAGCCAGCCAGCTTTTAACCTTCTGACCCTGCTGAATCGACCTTGACTTTCACTGACCTGGTCTCTGTTCTCCTGCCGAGTTTGACCCCTGCCAACCTAATTCCAATCCTCTACGACACCCCTCCAGCCACCACTCCAACCCTCTACCCTGTTTGCCCATAACCCCCACCCCCGTCCACCTGGAGTAGCACTTGCATTCTTTCTCCCCAGGGGCTTCCTGGGGTTGCTGGACGTCCTGGAGTTGAGGGTCCTGAAGTGAGTCTGTGACTGTGGTGGGACCAGGAGTGGGACTTTCATGTGTCCCTCCCCTCCCCCTCCCCTCCTGGGCTCACACTTTTTCCACATACAGGGGCCACCGGGACCCGCTGGCCGCCGAGGAGAGAAGGTGGGTCATAAGCTGGGGGTCGTTCTGCTGGGTACCAGGGATGTGGCAAGTGGATCACTGGGACTTTGGGTTCCTAGATGGGTCTGTGACCCCATCCTTTCTCTATAGGGGGAGCCTGGTCGCCCTGGGGACCCAGCAGTGGTGGTGAGTGAAGGGAGGTTGGGCCTCCCGGAGCACAGCGTAGCCCTTGAACAGCGACCCCCGTGTAAACCACTGTTCTGGGCTGGATTCCACAACCCTGGGACCCTGGGCAGGCTCAGAGCTCTGGGACTCTCCTATGCCACACGCTGCTTCTGAACTCCTGGCTGGGATCCTGTGACCCCATGACCAGTATAAAGGTCATGAGATCTTTGTGTCAGCCCATTTTGTATAACCCCTAGCCTGCTCTCACTGGTGACCTGTGACCTCGGGGCAGAGACTGAGCTCTGTGATTTCTGCTTCTATATAACTCCCATCCCAATTAAGACTGTGGTCATACGACCTCCCCCAAGATGGGGCCAAGCTGTGTCTGTCCTGTTTGTTTTCAGGGACCTACTGGTGCTGGAGCCAAAGGAGACAAGGTAAGTCCGGTGTGGGTGAGAGGAGATTGTTACAGGGTTGAGGTCAAGGTCGTAGGGCCTGTCTCTGGGACATGGAGGTCACAGGGTTGTGGCATGATTTCTGGGTTGTGGGGTTAACTAGAGCCTGGGACTAGCACTGATTGTCTTTGCCACCTCCAGGGAGATGTGGGGCCCACTGGGCCCAGAGGAACTCCTGGAGTCAAAGGGGAACAGGTAAGTGAAGGAAGGTGTTTAGGGGGTGGGGCAGGTGACAGTTGTGCCATCCACACTATTTATTCTTCTACCCATAGGGCCCACCTGGATTGGTTCTTCCTGGAGACCCTGGCCCCAAGGGAGACCCTGGAGACAGGGTGAGTAAATGTTGGGATGGGGAGTGTGACAGAGAGAGATGTAGTTCTTCCTGGGACCCCAACTAAGTTCTGCCCTCCTTCCCATCCCCTGCAGGGTCCCATTGGCCTCACTGGCAGAGCAGGATCCCCGGTGAGTACCTGTGACCTTGGGTAACCTCTAGGTGTCTGGGGTCACCTCCCCTCCAGGGCTGCCTGTGCAGGTATCCTGCATCACCTCGCTCTTGCCTCCTCCACAGGGTGACTCAGGGCCTCCTGGAGAGAAGGGAGACCCTGGGCGGCCTGGCACCCCAGGACCCATTGGCCCCCGAGGACGAGATGTGAGAGGCTGGAGTTGGGGGAGTTGTGGGGGGGAGGGGAGTAGAGGTGTTGCAGGCATCACTGAGGGTCTTGGGACCAGGGCTGACTCTCATGTCTCACAGGGCGAAGTTGGAGAGAAAGGTGATGAGGGTCCTCCGGTGAGACTCCTCCCTGCTGTGGTTTCTGATCCTTTACCCTTGAATTGGGATCCCAGTGGGCTGGGGGCTCCACCAGGTCACCAATTCCTCCTCCTGCCTCCTGTCCAGCTGGTGCCCAGGCCCTTCTGTCCCTACTCCCTGGGTGAGTTAGATCCTAGCTCACCTGCACAACGTGGCTCTTTTCCCCATCACCAGGGTGACCCAGGTTTGCCTGGAAAAGCAGGCGAGCGTGGCCTTCGGGTGAGTCTTGACAGGGAGAGGTACGAAGGTGATGGGGGAGGTGAGCATGAAGGTGGCAGGAAACTCTGATGGGGAAAGGGGTGGTGGGAAACTCTGACAGGAATATTGGGGTGATAGGGAACCTGGGGTGATGTAGAGGGTCATGGGGAACCTGCAAAGTGCCTAGAGGGTCTGTCTCAGACCAGCTGCTCTTCTCAGGGTGCACCTGGAGCTCGGGGGCCTGTAGGTGAGAAGGGAGACCAGGGAGACCCTGGAGAGGATGGACGAAACGTGAGTTCCAACCTTTGACCGTCATCCCTGACCCCAGCCTCAGCCCCCCAGCCATCCAATTCCTGGCCGATCCTTCCACCCCAGCCCTGCAGTCCTGAACCCTCACAGTCCTCACTTCCTGTGACCCCTACATGCCAACCAAAGGCCACCAGGGTCCCTGTGAATCCTCATGGTGCCTCCAAAGCTCCCCCACACTCCTGCCTGCCCTGAGCAACCTTGACCCCCCGGCTTTCCGCAGGGCAGCCCTGGACCCTCTGGACCCAAGGGCGACCGTGGGGAGCCGGTGAGTAGTGCTGGTGCTCTGGGCTTGGGAGGGCGGGGAGTTCCCTGGTGCTGCTGCCAGTGCTCTGGCCGGTGTCCACACGAGGGGCCTGAAGGTCAAGTGGGAGCACTGATGGCCACCCTTGGGCCTGGCCTTCCTTCTGGGGTTGGCACTGTGATGCTGAATGGAATTGGGGCAGAGTTGAGCCTGGGCCAAACCTGAGCCATGCCTGGGACCTCAGGGCTCCTGTTGGCTACAGTCATTTCCTTTCCCAGGGCCCCCCAGGATCCCCTGGACGGCTGGTAAGGGTTGCGCTGGGTCTGGGCCTCTATCGTCTCCCTCACCTGCCCTGCTGGCTCCACACCATGTCCCCTCATTCCTTCCACTGACTCCCACCTCTCCCACTGACTCTCTGATACCCCCTTTGATCTCTGTGGCCCCTCACTGACCCTGTCTCCCCACACCACCCTGCTTCCCCTTGTCGTTCCATTCTCCTCACTGGTCACTCCCCCTGACAGGTGGACACGGGACTTGGAGCCAGAGAGAAGGTATTGGGGTCTGTGGGTGGAGCCTAGGAAAGGATACCAGTGCTGCTCACCACGGGTCTGCCTTGGGCATGCCTTGGCTCAGGGCTATTCCCTCAGCAAGCCTGTCTCTGCCACAGGGAGAGCCTGGGGACCGCGGACAGGAGGGTCCTCGAGGACCCAAGGGTGACCCTGGCCCCCCTGGAGCCTCTGGGGAGAGGGTGAGTGTGGTCCTGTGGGGGGGGTGGGCTTAGGAAAGCCTGCTCTGATCTCTTCCTCCCCCATCTTCAGGGCGTTGACGGGCTTCGGGGGCCCCCAGGCCCGCAGGTGAGTGGTGCACTTTGCTCCATCAGCCTCAATCCCCACCTTGCCCTCACCTCTTATCTGACCCTGTTCCCTCCAGGGGGACCCAGGTGTCCGAGGCCCAGCTGGAGAAAAGGTGAGAGAGGGTAGAGGTTTTTCAGAACATGAACCTGGGCCCTCAGATTCATCTCTGCCTTTGAGGCCTCTTACCACTCTGTTTTCCTCAGGGTGACCGGGGCCCCCCGGGGCTAGATGGCCGGAGTGGGCTGGATGGAAAACCAGGCCCCGCTGGCCCTCCTGGGCTGAATGTGAGTCGTGGTAGTGACTGCCTGGTCATCCCCTTCCCTCTTCCCTTCACATGAGGGCCCTAAACCCGAGGCTTCTCTGGGTGGTCTTGGGCTTGACGAGTTCTGGGGCCAGGTGTGTGATCTGTGTCTTTTCCCAGATCCCTGTGGGGGGCATGTTACTGCCACACAGGCCTTGGGTTCACAACAGCCAGTGGCCCTGTCAGTGGGCAGTGCTCCTGACCCCATGACCAAGAGGCACTGACTTTGAGTCTCTCCTTAGGGTGCAGGAGGCAAAGCTGGGGACCCAGGGAGAGATGTAAGTTAGGGGAGATGCTGGGGTGGAGGGTGGCTCGGGGCCCAGTGTAAGAAGGTCCTCATAGTCTCAGCATCAGTGAGAGGAGAGGGAGTTGAGTCCAGCCTTGTCTTTGAGAGGTTGTCTCAGCCCCTGACAGACAGGTTTCAGTGAAGTCCCCCTTTCTGACCTTCTTTGCCTTGGGGGTCTTAGTAGGTCCCCCAAACTCTGGGGTTTCTTCCCTTGGGAGTCTCAGCAGGGGCCCCCCTAGCCCATGGGATTTATGTCTGAGGGGATTTCAGTAGGACCTCCTGATCCTGAGGTCTCTACGCTGGAGAAAGATGTTAGTGAGGACCCTCCAGTCTGTAGGGTGTGCCTGGAGAGATATCTCAGAGACCCTCTCGATCTTAGCAAAGACTTTTTCCAGGGGCTTCCAGGCCTCCGAGGAGAACATGGGCCCCCTGGTCCCCCTGGCACCCCTGGATCACCGGTGAGTCCAGGCTTTCATGCTACCCTTTTGCCCACTTACTCCCCTCACCCCAGCCCTGACATCTGACCAGTGATCTGTTCCCACAGGGAAAGCCAGGCGAGGATGGCAAACCTGGCCCAAATGGGAAAAATGTGAGTGTGTCCAGGGCAGCTGCAGCTGCAGCATGCTGAGAAACGCCAGCACACGCACATAGGGCAGATATGCAAGCAACAGGGGAGGCACACGTGTAGACACAAGTAGACATGTGCCAATACCTGCACACCTAGCCCAGACACAGATACATCCTGAAACATAGTTCTACATGCACACACAGGCAGCCTTGCAGACGCAGTGAGTTAGGTGGATGGGCCAGTTGGTGCCTGGATGGGTGACATATGCCAAGATAACCCACAGCCACAGGCATAGGCAAAGAGGCACAGACACACTGGCATGAAGCCACCTTCAGGGCACTTGGAGACATATCGACCCCCAGATGCTTCCACCCAGACCCACGTATGTGCTAAGACATGGACCTAGGACTACATGTGGACCTGTGTTGAGACATGATGAGGCACACATTCATGGCTCTGATGTGTGACACATGCTGGAACATGCTGACACATGCCTTTATATCCACAGTCACTCACATACATATGGCCATACACATTGAGATACACACAAGACTTGCAGACAGATGCCAAGGCACTGGGGACCTGTGTATACGTGTAAAAGCCCATGCCCATATGCAGACATGGACCAAGGCATGCAGACAGACCGGGACATACAGACCCACAGGTACACGTGCTAAGACACACATGGATACACACACATGCCCAGGATGTGGACGCTCACCAACCCAGCGATGCAGAGATGTGGAGATACATCTAGAGAGCCAGAGACAGGAGGCCACATCTGTGCAGTTACATCTGGGGCGGGCAGGCCTGTGCAAGCCCACCCCTGGACATACTGCAGCTCCCTCAGACAGTGACAGGCCACACTCTAAGACACGTGGAGCCTTGGAGCTACAGGCATAGACATATTGTTATAGTCATCTGAAATCTGCCAAGACGGTGTCTTGCAGCCAGACACCAGTGAACATTTGGGCTGATGTGAGTCCTCTGCCTGCAGGGAGAACCTGGGGACCCTGGAGAAGACGGGAGGAAGGTAAAGCCCCTCACCTGGGGTCTGCTCTGGTCTCAGAGTGGGGCCATGTCCAAAGCATCGTTGTCTTCTTTAGGGAGAGAAGGGAGATTCAGGCGCCCCTGGGAGAGAAGTGAGTGCTGGGGTTTTCTGCAACTTCTGACCCCTGACCCTGACCCTGACCCTGTGGAGTATGGCTCTACTCTTTTCTGGGGTCTCAGTGTCCTGATACTGGCTGCATCCTCCACAGGGTCGTGATGGCCCCAAGGGTGAGCATGGAACACCTGGAAGCCCTGGACTCCAGGGCCCTCCGGGCCTCCCAGGGCCAATTGGCCCTCCTGGCCAGGTGAGTGTCCAGGGTGGTTCTGGGACTTGGGAGCATCAGAGGCCATCATGCTTATATGGGATATCCTCCTGGGATGCCTTTGTGTTCTGTGTCCTGTGCGACCCCTTTGTGTTCTGTCATATCTCAGGGTTTTCCTGGTGTCCCAGGAAGTGTGGGTCCCAAGGTGAGTGTGCGTATGTTGGGTAGGGGGTATGGTGAGGGGCAGACCAGGGTTGGGGGACATTTCCCCTACCTGATCATTCTTCGTTCTCAGGGCGACCGTGGGGAGACTGGATCCAAAGGGGAACAGGTGAGGCCCCTACCTTTTCCACATGCACAGGTAGCCACAGCACCCGCATATGCACACACATGCCTCCCAAGCCAGGTCCTAGCAGTTTGTCTCTTGCTCTCTCTAGGGCCGCCCTGGAGAGCGAGGCCTACGAGGAGAGCCTGGGAGCATGGCGGTGAGCCCACCCTGGGACCTGGCCCTGGACTCATATGCACGCCCATGGGAGTTACCTCTATTTCCCCCTTTCCCCCTTACCCTGAGGCCCCACAGGGACTGCACTGTATGCTCAGCCCCCTGCCCCATTGGGGTTCCTGTAGCCCACACTCAAGAGAACCTGGGCAATGTGGACAAGCCAGGAAGGGTCTCCTGGTGGCCTCCAGCGAGGCCTCAACCAAAGGCTAAGGGTTGGGCCAGAGGCCTGGGGAAGAGGGCATGGAGGCACTTTCTAGAACAAGTGTGGGGCAGAAGGCAGGGGTTTCTCCTTTGTGGGAAGCCCCTCACCCCACCTTGTATCCCCAGAATGTGGAGCGGTTGCTGGAAACTATTGGCATCAAGGTAGGTTGTTTAGGGGCTGGAGGTGGGGGCAGGTGTTGCCCACAGGGCCCAGTGGGTGGGAAGTTGCAGTTATGGGCCCTGCTCCTCTGACTCCTTGCTGTTCCTCAGGCATCTGCCCTGCGGGAGATAGTGGAGACCTGGGATGAGAGCTCTGGTAGCTTCCTGCCTATGCCTGACCGGCGTCCTGGACTCAAGGGGGAACAGGGCGAGCGGGGCCCCCCAGGCAAGGAGGTGAGTGTGGCTGCTCAGTGGGGAGTGCCCCACGGAGGGTGTAGTTGTACAGCCACCAGCATTCCCTCTTCTGCTCCCCCAGGGCCCCATCGGCTTTCCTGGAGAACGCGGGCTGAAGGGAGAGCGTGGAGACCCTGGACCTCAGGGGCCGCCTGGCCTGGCGCTTGGGGAGAGGGGCTCACCTGGACCTCCCGGCCTTGCCGGGGAGCCTGGAAAGCCTGGTATTCCTGGGCTCCCAGGCCGGGCTGGAGGTACAGGGGAGGCAGGAAGGCCAGGAGAGAGGGTGAGCCTGGGGACTGGCCAGGAGGGCCGGGGGCTGGGGTTCAGAGGGGCTGGACCCCATGAACATGGCCCTCACCCTGCTCTTTGCATTTCAGGGAGAACGGGGAGAGAAAGGAGAGCGTGGAGAGCAGGTGAGCTGGGATGGGCTACACAGGGCAGGGCTGCCTGAAGGCTGTGCTGGGACTACCACCCCATTTACTTCTTTTCTGCAGGGCAGAGATGGCCCTCCTGGCCTCCCTGGACCCCCTGGCCCCAAGGTGATCACCCCAGCCCTGCCCTGGGCCTGTGATGGGTGACCAGGAAGGCACCCTTAGCTGGGGCCCCAGAAATCCCATGTGGTATCTCTGACCCTATAACCCTCTGTGATCCTGTGATCTGTGATGACCCCTCCATGCCTCTGTTCCAGACACATCTCTCCCCTGTCACCTTGTGCTTATAGGTGGCTATGGATGAAATAGGTCCCAGACTCCTTGGAGAACAGGGACCCCCTGGACTCAAGGGTGCTAAGGTCAGTGTGTGGGATCAGCTTGGGGGCAGCCCCTGCCATGGCACCAGGGCCCGACTTCACATCTCATCCCCACAGGGGGAGCCAGGTGGTGCTGGTGACCCAGGTCCAAAAGGAGACAGGGTGAGGCCTCCCACCCCACTGTATACTTCCCCCTCGTTTATGGAGGGCAGGGCTGTGTGCACATGTGCATGGACACATGGCAGAGGTTGGGGCTCAGGCACAACACTTTGCCTGCAGGGCATGCCAGGCATCAAAGGAGAGAGCGGAGAGCCTGGACAGAGGGGTGTCAATGGCAGTCCGGTGAGTCTTTGCCCCACGGACCACATACGTGCAAGAACATGGCTCTTTCATGTGTTGTCCTGTGTGTAGGGCTGGAGTCTGCACTGCCTGGCACTGTCTGGGTCTTGCCTCTGACTGTCTAGGGGGATGGCAGAGGGAAAGCTGGGCATCGGGGACAAAGCAGTGTAGCCTTAAACCTGTTCTCTTCAGGGTCTACCAGGAGAGCGTGGCGTGGCTGGGCCTGAAGGGAAGCCGGTGAGTGGTGGCAGGAGTGGCCTCGCCCAGGCTCTGGACGTCTGCTGGGTGCTGAAATCTGTGTGTGTGCGTGCGTGTGTGTGTGTGTGTGTGTGTGTATGTGTGTGTGTGTGTTACTTGTCAGTCGGGGGACTGTGCCTTCCTGCTCAGGTGTGGGTGCATGTGCACGATGTCTGAGAGGCTTGCCGTGTGCATGTCTGTGTGTGTGTGCATGTGTGCATGTTTGCAGGCCCATGTGTGCTGTCCATGAGGGGCAGATTGTAGGTACACGTGCTGTGTGCCTGGGAGGGGTGGGGTGTGGAAGTGGGCCCCCAGGGCCAAAGCCCCCAGAAGGTCGGAACAGACCCAGGTGAGGCCCAAATTGAGGCTCACAGCACCTTCTCTATGCAGGGTCTGCAGGGTCCGAGGGGGACCCCTGGCCCAGCGGTGAGTACCCAAGAACCCTCACCTCTCCTGCCTCCACCCTGTGCCCTTCCCCAGTGAGCAGTACTGCCTCAGTTTCCCTGGTGGGGTGGGGATGGCTCCCCCCATCAGACTCTTTCTCTCCTTAACAGGGAGGCCATGGAGACCCTGGACCGTCTGGTGCCCCAGTGAGTGATGAGGGAGCATTGCCTGGTGGGGGTCCAGGAGGGATGGGACAGCCATCATCACTGCTGCTGAGCCAGCCAGACCTTATCTATGTTAATCCACTAAGCCCTGGCAGATAACGTTGATCCCTGTGTCCCACCCTCGACACTTTTCTCTAGGGTCTTGCTGGCCCTCCAGGACCCCAGGGACCCTCTGGCCTGAAGGTGAGTACAGGCATGGGGGGCATGTGAATGGGATGAGGAGAAGGCCCCTTGGAGCCATGTCCACACCCAGGGTCAACATTGGTGAGGTCAACAGCCTCCTGGATGTCATTCCCTGCCATGAGGCTGAGCACCAAGAGGCATGTCGACGTGGGCTCTGCTCACGTGGTCTCTGGATCATTTGCAGGGGGAGCCTGGAGAGACAGGACCCCCAGGACGCGTGAGTGACCCAGCTCATGGGTTGGGGTCACAGGGAGATGGGTGGGGTTGGCACTGCCCTGAATGTTTTCTTCCTCTAGGGCCTGCCTGGACCTACTGGGGCTGTGGGACTTCCTGGGCCCCCGGGCCCTTCAGGCCTTGTGGTGAGCAAGTCCCCATGGCTCCTAAAGGGACACCATGTTCCTACGCCTTGGGTCCCCTTTTCCCCCATGTCCTCTTTTGTCCCTTGCCCCGTGTCACCCTCACATCTGACTTGTTCCCCCTCAGGGTCCGCAGGGGTCACCAGGTTTGCCTGGACAAGTGGTGAGTCCTAGGGGTCAGGGGCTGGGCTCCAGGGCTCAGGGGTCAGCAGGCAGGCACCTGACAGAGCTCCTTCCTCTCAGGGGGAGACAGGGAAGCCAGGAGCCCCAGGTCGCGATGGTACCAATGGAAAAGATGGAGATAGAGGAAACCCTGGTGTGCCAGTATGTGTTTGGGGAGTGGTCGCTGTAGGCCTGCTGTGGGGGCCCGGTGCCCAGTTGTGTGCCTGGAATGTGAGGAGTGGGCGGCAGGGGTGGGATGGTGGAGAGGCACTGAGCCCCTCATGCTGCTCTGCCATAGGGGTCACCAGGTCTGCCCGGCCCTGTCGGACCTAAAGGAGAACCTGGACCCATGGGGCCCCCTGGACAGGTGATGTTTGATCCTCACCTCTACCCACTGCACCATCTTGTCTGCCTCAGCCCCAAGCCTTAGTCTGAATGCCATCGGGATGGCAGGGAGGGGCAGGGAGAAGGCAGAGGCTGGGCACCTCACTAGGCATTCCCCACAGGTGGTGGTCGGGCCCCCTGGAGCAAAGGGAGAGAAGGTGAGTGTACGGGAGGCTGGGGAGGAGCGGCCAGGCAGTGGGGGCCAAGGAACCCTACTGACCTCCCCCTCCTCAGGGAGCCCCTGGAGGCCTTGCTGGAGACCTGCTGGGTGAGCCGGTGAGTGTAGAACTTCTGATAGCAGGTGACCTCTGACCCATGGTTGACCCAGCCCTGTGATCCTCCACTTCCACAATATGCCCCACGTTTGACCCCCGGCCTCGTGCCTCCCTCCTGGAGTCTCATCTGTATGTGACTGACGCCTCTATTGCCTCCTGACCTTTGTCTCTGCAGGGAGCCAAAGGTGATCGAGGACTGCCAGGGCCACGGGGCGAGAAGGTAAGGTGGGGCTGGCCCGGGCCTGAACTCTGGGCAGAGAGGGGTAAGGCTGGGTGGCCGAACCCCTTCACCACCCATTCTGTACAGGGGGAAGCTGGCCGTGCAGGGGAGCCTGGAGACCCTGGGGAAGATGTGAGTCCGGGGTCTGGGCAAGTGCAAGCCTGGCTTGAGGAGTACAACTGTGGACATGAGGGACCCTTCTTGGGCCTGTGCACATGTCTGAACCCCTGACTCTGGCTGCGTGTCCCAGCATTCCGGAGCCTGCTTCTTGGAGCACACAGGGACACACGTTCTTGGCTTCCACACTCCGAGGACTTGGGTTCCCCCTCTTGGCTTCTGTGTGCCTGTCCTCGACCTTCTCTTCCTCAACATGTCTGTTGTCCAAGGTCTCAGGACACGTCTGAGCTCTTGTGGGCCTCTCCTTGGTCATGTGTTTATAATTCTCCTTTCTCCCACCCCTGCCTGTCTGAGTTCACTTTTGTGGTCACGTCCGAGCTTTCTGGGAATGGACACGTTGGAGTTCCCATGTATCTGTGCTCATATCTGTGGTCCCAGATGTCTGCACTCATGTGTGAGCTCCATGTGCCTGTGGTCATGCCTGAACTCCCACCTATCTGTGGTCACATCTGAGCTTCCCTCTGTCTGTGCCCTCAAGAGTCAGTCCATTGTCCTGTCTGAGCTCCTGTGAGCCAATTCTTGGTCACAAGCCTAAGTTCCCATGTGTTCATGTCACATCTGAGCTCCCCTGGGAATATTTTTGGGCCACGTCCGAGCTCTGTGCTCATTATTCCTACCTTCTCAAATGCTGTTTGTTTTTTCAGGGTCAGAAAGGGGCTCCAGGACTCAAAGGTCAAAAGGTACATGTACCCAGAAGGGTCCCTGCTGGGGGTCGTAGTCCTAAGACTCCCTGAGCCTGATCTGACCCCTCTTTCCCTCAAAGGGTGACCCAGGAATCGGGGTCCAGGGCCCACTTGGGCCAATTGGTCCTCCAGGTATGAAGGTAAGTCAGTGCCCCCTCACCAGTGGCAGGGGCAGTGGGCAGGGAGGCCACTGGAGGTGGGAAAAAGAGGGAATTCTGGGGCTAGTCCTGGAGTGGGGGTCCCATGGTGACCACTCTTCCCTTGGCTATTTTTATTTCAGGGAGATCTGGGCCCCCCTGGGCCCCCTGGTGCTCCTGGTGTTGTCGGATTCCCTGGTCAGACAGGCCCTCGAGGAGAGACGGGTCAGCCAGGCCCTAGCGGAGAGCGGGTGAGGGAGCTGGGAGCAGTATGTGGGGACTTGGTGACTTTAAGATCTCTGAATCCAGTGGGGTCAGGAGGAGGCAGCCCTGCCTTGGGGGCTTGCAGTCTTTCGGGGCGCAGAGGGGGAGGAGGGTTCCCAAGTCATTCTCTGCTTCTCTTGCTCATTTTTCTGGTAGGGTCTGGCAGGTCTCCCAGGGAGAGAAGGAGCCCCAGGCCCTTTGGGGCCACCTGGATCACCAGGGTCAGTGGTGAGTAGAAGCCTAATATCTCAAGTGTCTGTTGCCTGAGTGTCAGCGTCTGTCCACGGGAGGACTGGCGAAGGGGACTATGACACACTGGGGCACACATGCTGGGGGCACGTGTGGGCTTTGATGGCCAGAAGACCCTCACCTCACTCTGACCCACAGGGAGCACCGGGGGCCTCTGGACCCAAAGGGGACAAGGTAAGTGGGACAAATGCTGCTGGTTCTGACCTGTGCCTCACCCCCTCTAATCTCCACTGACCTCCCATGACTTCTGTCCCCCACTGATTCACCTCACTTATTCCTGGTGTCCTCTTGATCTCTAGGGAGACCCTGGAGCAGGGCTGCTGGGGCCCCGAGGCGAGCGTGGGGAGCCAGGTGTCCGGGTACGTACGTCCTGCTCCACAGCCAGGGCCCACCAAGTCTCCCTTCATCACAGCTCTTGCCTCTGATCAATGACCTACTGTTCCCGTCCAGGGTGAAGATGGCCGCCCTGGCCAGGAGGGACCCCGAGGACTCATGGTGGGTCCCATTGGGGACTTCATTCCCCTGCCTGTGCCCTCTGTGCCCTTGGAACACTCTCTGCAGTCCTCCCCAGCCCTCTGGTTCTTCTCATTGACTCTCCTGTCCTCTTTGTCTGGTCCTCTTTCTTTCCTCATTCCCCTGGGTCCCCTTCGGTCCTCCATTGCCCCCAAATTCCCATAGCTCACAGTCCCCTTCTCTCACACAGGGGCTCCCTGGCAGCCGTGGGGAGCGTGGGGAGAAGGTAAGAATGTGAGGACCAGGCCCTGGCGTGAGTCGGGGGTGGGGATTCAGGACTGAGGACTCCCCAGTTTGGGTGGGACTCACACTCTTCCACCCAATAGGGTGATGCTGGAACCGCAGGGCTAAAGGGTGACAAGGTGAGTGTGGGCATGGGGGAGGGCAGGGACGGGGACCAAGATGTTCCCGACTCCTCTGACTCCTCCCTACCTCCTCAGGGTGACTCAGCCATGACTGTGGGGCCTCCGGGGCCACGGGGTGCCAAGGGGGACATGGTGAGTGTGTCTGGTTCACGTGCAGACCAGGTCTCCCCTGGATGCGGGAGGGCTCCTGTGGTGCTTGCCCAGGTCATCTGAGAGCTCAGACCCCCGGAGGGTGACCTCCAGCTCCTGACTGACTTCTGACCCGACCCAGGGTGAACGAGGGCCTCGGGGCATAGATGGTGACAAAGGACCTCGGGGAGACATTGGGGTGCCTGGAGACAAGGTACAGGAAAGAGAATGGGGTACTCTCTATGGGGTTCCGTGGGCTTATGGGGCGCCATAGAGGGTCTGTGAGGGCAGGAGGGGAGGACAGGAGGGGGCTTTCTGGGGGTCAGAGGGGAAGGGGGATCTGTAGGCTGTAGTGACTCCACAGGGTGCTGAGAGGATGGGGCTCTGAGGAGGGCTCAGGGCCTTGATGTGAGGTCAGGAGGAGAGCTCTGTGGACTGTGGCCCTGTGAGGGGCTCTGTAGGGGCAAGAAGAAGGCTCCTGGGGTATAAGGGGTGCTCCAGATGGGATCAGGGACCCAATGGTAAGAGGGAGGGCAAGTGTCTGGGGGTCTTGGGGTGAGAAATGAGCGGCTCCATGGCCCACAGCCCCCAGCTCCACCCTGATGTGGTATGGGCCAGATGGGACGGGGCCCTGGGGATGGTCTGTGGGAGCAACACTGAGGAGTGGGTTCCAGTCATCTTCTAAGTCTGGGATGCTCCTGATTATGTCCCTCTCCTGGTCACTCCCACAGGGCACCAAGGGAGAACCTGGTGACAAGGGCTCGGCCGGGTTGCTGGGAGCACGTGGACTCACAGGACCCAAGGCAAGCCTCAACCCAGGCATAGGCCCAGAGCCACGCATGACACACCTGTTCCTGGGTGTCGAGTGTTGGAGGGTTTGTGGCTCCCTCGTTGTCAGCCACATGTGTGCAGCCTGGGCCTTGGCTGCTGAGTAACCAAGTGGCTGCACATGCAGCAGATAGGCTAGCAGGGGGACAGTCACACTGATGGGCTCCCCCAATCTGTTTCCCACAGGGAGAGCCTGGTGCAGCAGGGATCCCTGGTGACCCGGTAAGGTGCCCCTGCTCTTACAGGGACCCCTTGTCCCCATAGGGCCGCATCACCATGGGGGTCCTGCCCATGTGGTAGTCTTTGACCTTAGAGTGACCCAGTGCTCATGGTGCCCTCACGTTGCCCAGGGGCCCCCACCTCCACAGTAATCCACTATGATGGTATCCCCTACCCATGGTGACCCTGTCCCTATGGCAAACCCCAGTGGCTCTGGCCTCCTGAGGTGACTCTGACTCCATGGTGTTCTCTGCCCACTATCCAGGGTGATTCTCTTTGATTCCCACTAACCTCCCAACCTCACCTTGACTGCTCTCCTTCCTAGGGATCCCCAGGAAGGGACGGAGCCCCTGGTGTCCGAGGAGACAAAGGAGATGTTGGCTTCATGGGTCCCCGGGGCCTCAAGGTAGGAAGGAGATGGTTTTTTCCTCCTGGTCAGGAAGGCTTGATGTTTGAGGGTGAGGGATCAGGTCAGATGTTGGGGTACCCAGGGCTGAACGTGTGCTGTTAGGGCAGGGGTTGGAGTGTCTGAAGCCAGTTTGGTTTGGAGAGCTGGTTTTGGGGTAAAGGGATCATAAGGTGAGGTGTCCAGAAGTGGATTTTTCACCCACTTTTCTCCCTCAGGGTGAACGGGGGGTGAAGGGAGCCTGTGGCCTCGATGGAGAGAAGGGAGACAAGGTACAGAGGGGCTGGGGGCTGGGGGCTACAGGGCCTGGGGCCTAAGGCTGACCCCTCCACCTGATGCCTGCAGGGAGAAGCTGGTCCCCCGGGCCGCCCGGGGCTAGCAGGACGCAAAGGAGAGTTGGTGAGTGTGGGGCACGCCCAGAATGAGGAGGGGCCAAGCGGCCAGGGCCGAGCTCATGTCTTCTTTTCTCTAGGGTGAGCCTGGTGTGCCAGGCCAGTCAGGGGCCCCTGGCAAGGAGGGTCTGATCGGTCCCAAGGTACAGGGTCTCTCCCTGGTGAACATGGTGGGGGGTCAGCATGGGGCACAGAAGATTGTGTAGGGTCATGGGGTTTAGGGTCCAGGAAGGTCATGGCAGGTTGGGGCATTGGGGGTTCAGGGGACTGGTCTTGAGGTAGGGAGGGCTGGGGTCACAGTAGAGGGTTGGGATGAAAGGATGGGAGGTGAGCAGGGGCAGTGCGCATCGGGGCAGGGGGCTCCAGTGGGGTTGGGGTTACTGGGATCACAGCACAGGTGTGGTAAGGGCACAGGTGCTTGGGTCATGAAAGGTTGTAGGCCTTGGGCCAGGGGGCTCACAGGTGTTAGGAGCTGAGGGAGGGCAGGGCAGGTCTCTCATGCTTCTTCTGTTCCCAGGGTGACCGAGGCTTTGATGGGCAGCCAGGACCCAAGGGTGACCAGGGCGAGAAAGGGGAGCGGGTGAGTTGAGGCTAGGGCCATGGTGAATTGTGGGAGTGTGTTCTTTGGCAGTGGGTCTGTCTCTGGGGGCTTTGATCACTGACCCTGTCCTATCTCTCCCCAGGGGTCCCCAGGAATTGGGGGCTTCCCAGGTCCCAGGGGCAATGATGGCTCTAGTGGTCCCCCTGGGCCCCCTGGCAGTGTTGGTCCCAAAGGCCCTGAAGGACTTCAGGGCCAGAAGGTAAGCGACCTCAACTCTGACTCCTGGGCCCTGAACCTCCCTACCCAACGCTCTGCCCTTCCAACCTCGAAACCCATCCTCCAGCCTCCCTGCCCAGCCTCTAAAGCGATGATCCCCAACTTGCCTGATTTCTGGCCCCCACTGCCTCTGACCTTGCTCACTTGGTCCTTGTGTCTGACAGGGTGAACGAGGTCCCCCTGGAGAGAGTGTGGTGGGGGCCCCTGGGGCCCCTGGGGCCCCCGGTGAGAGAGGGGAGCAGGTGAGTGGGGATTACTGGGCTTAGGGTCAGAGATTGGGCTGACCTCTGGTGTCCCTGAGATCAGAGGTCACAGCCTGGTCCCATCTGTTGCACATAGGGGCGGCCAGGGCCCGCCGGTCCGCGTGGGGAGAAGGGAGAAGCTGCCCTGACAGTGAGTGTGGGCCTGGCGGTGCTAAGACCCTGCCTCCCACTCCCAGCACCCTGACCCCTGGCCTGGGCCCCTGGCTCCATGCTGTCCCTCTGTGGTCCCTGCATTATGTGCTCTGTGTCCTACTTGTGATCCATGGGTTCTTCATGGTCCCTGTGGTCTTGTGCTCCCAGGAAGATGACATTCGGGGCTTTGTGCGTCAGGAGATGAGTCAGCATTGTGGTGAGTGGGGCCAGCTGGAGTCTCCCGGGTCCCACTGCTCCTCTACCCCAGCAACCCCAGACAGGGCCAGGCAGTCCCCAGAACTTACAAGGGACAAGTGGCCGAGGAAATGGGTGGGGATGGATGGATATACAGAAGCACCCTCACACTGACAGCACTACACCCAACGGAGGGTACACAGGCACATGTGGGTGCCATGTTCCTGGGTGCCCAGTGTGGCCACATGGCAGGGGGCATGCAAGTAAGAGCAGGGCTGGTCCCACTCGGACTGACGTGGACCCGGGTGGGGCTATGATGACCCTGAGGGGCATCAGAGGGTGAAGCTCTGTCTCTCCCCACCTCTGTGTGCACCTGCCTTCCCTCTCTCCATGGCCGCCTGTTTCTGACTCTCCCTCTATCTCTTGTCTTTTCTTGGCCTGTTCCCAACTTCTCTCTGGTCCTTCGTCTCTTCTCTACCTTTCTTCCTCTCTTTCTCTTTACCTCCCACCCTCTCTCTCCTCTCTCCTGCTGTCTGTGTATATCTCTACCCACTGTGTGTGTCTCTGTCTCTCCATCCTTCCGTCTTCATCCGTCTCTTGCTCTGTCATTGTCCCTCTCTGCCCCTCCAGCCTGCCAAGGCCAATTTATCGCATCTGGATCACGTGAGTAATCTGCTCGCAGAACTTTCTTCACCCTAGGCCCTGCCCTGCCTATCACCTGGGCCCTCTCAGTGGGGTTTGGCTGGTGTGGCTGCCCATGGTGACCCCAGAGCCCTGTGCCCCCTGCTCTTGGCTCCAGGACCCCTCCCTAGTTATGCTGCAGACACTTCAGGCCCCCAGATCCACCCCGTACCTGTGCTCCGGGTCTCTCATGCAGAGGAGGAAGGTGAGGACAGCTGGACCCATGGGGCATGTATGGGTGGGGCCCGGACATGCACAGGGGTGCTCATACATGCAGGGCACATGCCATGCACATAGGGTTGCATGCAGGGCACATGTGTGAGCACTCTTGTGCCCACATGGGAGATCAGTGCTGGCCACCCCACCCTGGGGCCAGCGGCTGTGGCTCACAGCATATCGCACCCCACCTGCAGACCAGGTGCCCCCTGAGGACGATGAGTTCTCTGAGTACTCTGAGTATTCTGTGGAGGAATATGAGGACCTTGAGGCTCCTTGGGACAGCGTTGGTGAGAATGAGGGCTGGGACCAGAGGGAACTGGGTAGGAGCAGGCAGAGCTGATCCCTGCTGACCTCTCCCTGACCTACCATCCATCTCTGATCCTACCACCCTGCTGACCTGACCCCCACTGGCCCCAGACCCCTGCTCCCTACCACTGGATGAGGGCTCCTGTACTGCTTATACCCTGCGCTGGTACCATCGGGGCGTGCTGGGTGGCACGGAGGCCTGTCACCCCTTTGTCTATGGCGGCTGTGGAGGGAATGCCAACCGCTTCGGGACCCGTGAGGCCTGTGAGCGCCGCTGCCGGCCCCAGGTGACCCAGAGTCAGGGAACAGGTATGGGTTACCCCCACCCCAAGAGGGTACTGGGCACTGAGCCAGCCCAGAGCAGGTCCTTGGAGGGGAGTCCTTGGGTCAAGGTTCCAGGTCAGGGTCCTGGGGAAGAAGCTCCCTCAGACTAGGGGGCCGGGGACTCCAGACCAAAGAATCGAATCCAGAGTCCAAGCCATGGAGCCCCCAGTATAGTCCCCCTCCATGTTACCTCCTTTAAAGACCGGAGCATGTGTCCTCTCTCTGAGGCCAGAGCCCCCGCGGTGCTGTGGCCTTAGCTCCCTCCCCGTGGATGCCTTTGCTTGTGTTTTTCTGTGGCCATATGCTGGGTAAGAAGGTCACATGGCTGAAGACAGTTTCTAACCTGCATCCCGCAGGTGCTGCCCGGAGCTGAGGCCCGGGTGATGAGCTGAAGTTCAGCGTCCCCTGGAGGAGTTGGGGTCTCAGCAGGCCCCTGCTGTCCCTCCCCTTGGTGCTAGAGGGCGGTGTGCACATGAGCGTGCATGTGCATGTCCGTTATTTCAGTGACTTGGTCCCGTGGGCCTCGCCTTCCTCCCTGTGGACAAACCCCCATTGTGGCTCCTGCCTCCCTGGCAGATGACTCACTGTGGGGGGTGGCTGTGGGCATGAGTGGATGTGACTGGCATCTGACCTGCCCTTTGACCCAAGCCTGTGATGACATGGTGCTGATTCTGGGGGGCATTAAAGCTGCTGTTTTAAAAGGCTCCTGTTGTGACTGTTTGGGGAGATGGGGGTGTCAGGGAGGCAGGTTTTCCCTGAGTGGTCAGTACTATTCTGCATGGGTACAAAGTCCCTCTGCCCAGCCCTGGTCACTGTCTTGTGATCCTCTGTCCCCAACTTGTTCCCAGAATGGAGTAAATAGGGTGGGAGCTGAGGATGTGTCCTCACTGCCCCCAGGAGGGGATGAGTCATAAATTGGGGGCTACCTCATGCCGGGAAACATGCCCGCTTCCCACCCCAGGGGGCTGAGGGAGATAAATGGGCCCTGAAGTGGGGCGGAGGGTCAGACTACAGGACAGCACTGCCTGGCCCAGCCCCAGGCATCCACGGCGGCCTGACTAACCCCAAGAAAGCTGGTAGCGGTAGGACTGGGTTGGTTGGGATGGGAAGGGTCTTGGGGGTCAAGTGGACCTGGGGTCTGGGTCAGTGGAAGGCTGTGGGCCTGGAGGGCTCTGGGACCTCTGGCTGCTCCCCTGCCTCAACAACCCCACTCCTGCCCTTCTCTTTCCTGGGTCAGCTGCAGTCTGCAGCTCAGAACCCCCACCTCTCATTCTGAGCCTCTGTTTTCTCTGTCTCTGGGATGGTTTCTAGCTCTAGATTCTGTCTTTTTCTTCCAGTCTTCCTCTATTTTGCTCCACTTCCATCTCATTCATCTCCCTCTTCTCTCTCCCTCCCTCTCCTCCTCTTTCTTTCTCTCTTTCTGTCTTTTTCTCTAGCCCTCTTCTCTGGCTGTCTTGATCTTTTCTGTCTCACTCTGGCTCTTCTCTTGTCTCTTTGTTTCTGTTTCTGTCTGTCTCTCTCTCCTGTCCTGGACTTGCTAATCTCTCGGTCTCTTACTCTCAGTCTCTCAGTCTCCCTCTCTGTCTCTCTGTTCTCGCCTTTTGTCTCTGTCCGTGAACCATAGTTGACCAGAGCCCCTGCCCTGAGCCTGTTTTCTCCTCGCAGCCTGACCACACGATGACCAGGTGGGCTCTGCTGGTGCTGATGGTCCTGATGTTGGGCAGGGTCCTGGCTGTCCCAGCGACCCCTGTCCCAGCCTTCCAGCTCCTCTCTCAGAACTATCCCCAGACCACTCCCTGTCCTGTGGCCTCAGAGAGCCCCTCAGCTACCATCTCAGCTACCCAGGGTCACCCCAGCCTTGGTCCCCGCCCTGGCCCGCGCATCACCCTCTCACTGGATGTCCCCATCGGCCTCCTGCAGATCCTACTGGAGCAAGCCCGGGCCAGGGTGGCCAGGGAGCGGGCTGCCACCAACGCCCGCATCCTGGCCCATGTTGGCCGCCGCTAAGCCTGAGGGAGGGGGCCACGGTGATGGGGCCACCCTGGATGGAAAGAACTGGAGGACAGCAGCAGAGCTGGATGGTATTACATCTGGGCACAGTGCATCTGGACACTGCCACATGGGGCTGCTGCCATGTGGTTTCATATCACATCTGAGTGCTCTACAGAGAGTCACAGTGTGTCTGGACAGGCTGGACATTGCTATGTCAGGTCACTGCCAAAGGGAGTCTCGCCACACCTGTGTGCCTCACAGACTTACAGTATGTCTGGACAGCTTGGACACTACCACATGAGGTCACTACCATTCGGAGTCTTGCTACGTCTGGGTGCCCCACAGTCACAGAGCAGCTGGATGCCACGACATGTGGTCGTCATCATGTTACTTTCAGAAGCCTCAGCAAAGGAACCCAACACTGCATCTGAGACCAGTCCCACAGGTCTGCCCCCCCCGCTGGCGACCACACAGGGAAGTGTTGGTTAAGGGTCACATGCATGTTCTGTGTTCCATGAGGCAGCACCTGCCCCAGATAGATGGGGCTGTTAGGGGCATCTCCAGGCACGAATGGCCACACATGGGAAGTCTGTGACCACGGCAGCCTTACCCTGTGGGTGTGTGCACGCATGTGTGGCTGAGTCTCTGTGCCTCTTATATGTCTGTGATAGCTGTAAGTGTGTGTGAGCAAGGGGCGGGCATGTGTGGGGGCTGGGAGGAGTGGGTGCTTGTGTCCCTAACCCGCAAAAAGCATGCACAACTCACAGCCAGACACTGTACTATCTGTGCCCCTGCACACCCAGCCTCAGCGCCTGGACACACATGGCTCAGGGGCTCCATCCCAACTCTGCCCCTTCCTCACCAAAGTGTCCTGAGCAAAGAGGTTCACCTTTCTGAGCTTCAGTTTCCTCATCTGTACAGCAGAGCGATGCCACCAAGCTTCTTGTGAGCATTGTGTACGTTGTGTGCATGAAGCTCCAGTGTGCAGAAGGTGCTCAATAAATGTAAAGTGATTGAAGGATCGCCTGGATGAGAATCACAGTCACGTGCACCCAGACTGTGACACATGAGCGCTGAGTCACACCTGGCTTCTCTGCCCTTCTACACACCCCCATCCCCTTAGCCGACCTGGTTCCTTGGTTTGGAAGGACTAGGTTTTGCCTTATTTCCCACCCCAACTCCATTGCTGGGCTGGAGATGGGACTGACTTTCTGGGCTGCGTGGACGGGCTTGCCTGCGGGTGGGGCAGGCACTCTGGGCAGTGTAGACGACTCTAGCTGGAGATGAGGGCAGACACTGGGTAGTCTGGGCAGCTCTAGCTGGAGAGAGAGGCAATGCTGGAGGGAGTGTGGCTGCCTGCCTGGGTGGGGGCATGGACGTTGGCCTCACAACTGTGAGCAGCCCTGGGGGGGGCGGTCCCAGGCGGGCTGGAGAGGCGGGGCTGCAGGGCGAGCGCTGCTCTCTGGTCGAGCTGCAGGGTAGGCGGGCAGGCGGGGTTACCCCACTCTGGAGCTGCAGGGGGCGGTGGCCCTGGCCAGTTCGGTCGCAGGATGGACAGAGACATGTTAGGAGGCAGCTCCCTGAAGGACCCGGGGCCGGGGAACGGCAGGCAGGGTAGGCACGGGGCAGTGTGGGGAGGGTAGGGGGGATTAGGAAAAGACCTGGGTGCAGTAAGGGGGGTGCTGGAGGGGTGTGAGAGTGTTGGGATTCTCTCCTCCCATGGGGTGCTCTGAGGGGTATCAGTCTGTCAGTGGCCCAGAGGAGGGGGAGCATTGTCTCCTTGCAGGGGAGAGGGGGCTGGGCCAAAGGGGAACTATAAATAGTGTCTTCCTCCAGTCCCCGGGAGGGACAGTGAGCTGGAGCTGCCCCAGGCGAGGCGCTCCTGCTCTGCCCTGCTCTTTGCTGGCTTCCAAGGGGTCATGTTCCTCCAGGTCTCCCCTCAGGGTCATACAAGTTTGGGGAGGTCCAGAGGCTTATTTGGGAGGTTTTTCATATGATGCGGCTTTAGTCCTTAAACCAGCATTTCTAGGGTGCCTTCTGTGTGTCCTGAGCCAGTCCTGAGCTTCTCTAAATACCTACTGTGTACTCTGTCCTGGTCATGAACCTCTCTGAGTCCTTTCTGTGTGCCCTGGCTGGTCCTGAATCACTAAGCACCTACTGTGTGCCCTGTGCTAGGCTGGAATGAGGAAGTGCAGATCAGGGTTCCCAGGCTGCTTGGTCACATGGCTCTATACCCCCAAGTTGGAACCTCACACTCCCTATGAGCTCTGCGCCCAGGGAGATGGTGGGGACAATCCTTTGCTGGAAATGGCTAGAGGAAGCTGGAATTCCTGGGAATTCCTGAACCTCCCAGTGACAGCAGGGGTGGAGGTGGGGGGGATTAATGGGGAAGGGAGGCAGCAGAGAGCAACAGGCCCCACTACAGCCTGCCTGTCTCTGTGCATATGCCTGTGTGCAGGGCTTCTGTGTGTGCATCTGTGTGTATGCATGTGCAGCCAGGCCAGTGTTCTGTGTGAATTGGTGTGTGGGTCTGTGTGGCATGCACTGATGTCGCTGGGTCTTTATGCTGCAAAGGGTGGTTTGGCGGTCTGCCAGGACTGCCTAGCAGATACAGGGACTGGGAAGAGTTTGAGCATTCAGAACTGAGAATTGAGAACTTTGGCCACCCCAGGCTTCTAGCCTGGGACACTGGGAGGAGGTCCAGTGGTCAGTGCAGGGGGCACCATGGGAGCCAAGCAGGGTCAGGCCAGCCGGGTTCCTGGTGGGGAGTGACTGAGCAGGACGTGTTGACACATGAGTGCACACTGACATCCCAACGTGCCTCCCATGCCTGGGACAGGATAGTGGGCTCACTTTGGGGTGCCCGGAGGAGGGAAAAGCCGTGAGGGCCAGTTGCTGTACTGGGCACCTACTGATGCTGAGGGAGCAGGAAGGCAGGAGAGCATTTCGATGGAGGGAATAAGCAAGAGCCCAGTGTGGAGGCGGGGAGTGTGGTGACAGTGCAAGGTGTAGAAGGTGAGGTTTTGAAGGGCTGGGGTTGAGCTGAGTCCATGTCACACTGTGGGCTGGCTCTCTGATCCTGGGCCCTCTCCCCTTCCTGACCCTCTGTTTCCTACCTGAGAAATGGGGCCATGGGAGGGGAGATAAAGAATATCCTCAGAACAGATGTAGACCCTGGCCTTGGGGAGCAAGCCTAGCCTTCTCCTGATGGTGACTGGTGGCCTCTCTGCTGGATATAGGGACTTGGGAGGGTATGACTGGGTCATCTCAGGGTCAGACTTTTTGGGGAAGAGTGGGAGGTGCAGAGCTGCTGCCTTTCGTGGAACCAGTCTCATACCGAGTGTGGGGGTGGCTTCCCAGAGACAGTCCTGGCCTCCTGCCCGGTCCTGACTGCCCCCTACCCCCCGGCCTTGATTAACACCCCAGGAGGGCTGGGGAAGAGAATGGTCAGGCCTGAGGAGTGCTGGGTAGATGTTAGGGGAGGAAGCCTTTGCGATGAGTGCTGCCAGTTGGACAGGGTGTGGGCGTGTGGTGATGAGGTCTCTGGGGTCAGGGTGGCTCCAAGATGGCCTTCGCAGGGAGGCCAGGAGACAGACAGGAGGGCTGGCTGTGTCAGGATCAGAATGAGTGGCTTTGGAGAAGTAGGGAGCAGGTCACGAGGGGCACCCTGCTCATCAGGAGCCACCCATGGGTGTGCTCAGGGCCACTGAGAGTGGGGCGGAGGGAGGGGGGTGGACACTGCAGAGGGAGGATGAAGAAGGAGGAAGTAGTTGCCCTTGCCTGGTGCAGGGCATTCACAGGGTAGACACCTAGAGCTGGTTTCAGGGAGGGTCCAGGTGTGCTCCCAGCATGTGGACCTTCTGAATCTTCATTTCCTGTGAAGTGGGCAAGACATCTGTGTCAGAGTCATCTTAAGGGTCCTTGCCAGTCTCTGAAGCACTGGGTTGTGACTTGGAGGACTAACCCAGGGCAGGGGTGTGACAGGGAGGGCATGGGAAGGGGGCTACACTTATGGTGCATGAGGTCAGCCTTATTCTCCGTGCCCCTAGCACCTGGCTCCTGGCTGGGCACACATTGGGCAGGGAGAGCTTGAAGATGCAGGGACCCTCCCAAGGATGTTGTGGAGGACATCGATAGAGGGCAGTGTGACCCAAGTTCAAGCAGTGTTGGTAGGGACTGGGACAGAAAGTGTACAAAGCTTAAATAGGCAAGGCTGGAGGACAAAAGTGGCAGGAGCCTGCAGGGTCATGTGGGGGCCAAACAAGAGCGAGCCTGGGGTTCCTGAACTTCTGGATCTCTCCCTTGTCCCTTGTCCTCAGTGCATTTTCAAAGACAAGAGTGAGATAAATAAATGACAACACTAATGTTTTTTTTTTTTTTTTTTTGAGACAGAGTTTCGCTCTGTTGCCTGGGCTAGAGTGCCGTGGTGTCAGCTTATCTCACAGCAACCTCAAACTCCTGAGCTCAAGCGATCCTCCTGCCTCAGCCTCCCGAGTAGCTGGGACTACAGGCATGTGCTGCCATGCCCGGCTAATTTTTTCTATATATTTTTAGTTGTCCAGCCAATTTCTTTCTATTTTTAGTAGAGACGGGGTCTCGCTCTTGCTCAGGCTGGTTTCGAACTCCTGAGTTCAAACGATCCACCTGCCTCAGCCTCCCAGAGTGCTAGGATTACAGGTGTGAGCCACCACGCCCGGCCACTAATGTGTTTTAAAACAGATTTCTGAGATTGACACATTTAATCTATGCTGTAATCTTGTAAGACTGATGATACGCACATCCCATTTTCCTGATGAAGAGACAGAGGCTTATTTATTTTTAATGTGTATAGTCATGATTAAAAATTTAATTGGTAAAAATGAAATCCTGGAAAGAGAATTAAGATACTGCCAGGGCTTAGAGAGTCCCCAGAGTACTTGGTTACCAAGTTCCAGCATTTGCTCCAGGTGGGCCAGGGTTTAGCTCGAGCTTCCCAGCAGCTAAGGCAAAGAGAGAAACATGATCGATTCTAAGATCTGTCCTGTGTCCCTGTCCATGAGATGAGGAGCTTTTCCTGCGTGGTTGAGCAGGTAGCTTCCGTGGACTGCGGAGGGTCCCAGGGCTCAGAGCAAACCAGGGGGCCCAGCGCAGGGCCAGAAAGGCGCATTGGAGTTGACAGGGACAGCAAGCCTGGTGGCCCCTGCTAAATCTGACCAACGTGGCAGGGCGCATCCCGCAGGCCTGGTCCCGCTGCGAGCCCTCCTGGAGGCCCTGAGGTCACACGTACCTCAGGGCGTAACCCACGCGTGCCGCGGAGGCGTGGCTGCAGCGCCCAGGGCGGGGCCCATAGGTGAGGCCTATGCAAATCAGCGCGGTCGGGCTGGGAGAGCCGCGTTTGCGCATCGGAGGCGGGGCCTACACAATCCGGGCCTTGGTCCGGGGCGGGGCCTGCACAAACCGGAAGCTGGGCATGCGCTTCTCGATCCTGGCACGAAGACCACGACCCGCTTGGTGCAAAACGAGCCTGTAGGACAGTTGGGCATGCGTAGTCGGAGGCCAGGCCCTCCCCTGTTGGGGTGGAGCCTATTCGTTCTGGGGCGGGGCCTGCGGGAAGATGGACAAGGGTTGTCGCGGCATGAGCAGGGGCGGGGCCCAAGAGGCGGGACCTCGGGTGGCCCGAGGTGGCCCGGCTGCTGGGTTGGAAGCGGCGTAGTCCGACTCATCCCGGCCCCGGGATGGCGTCCCCACGGGAATTGACCCAGAACCCCCTGAAGAAGATCTGGATGCCATACAGCAATGGGCGGCCCGCTCTGCACGCGTGCCCGCGGGGTGGTGAGGCGGGGTCCGCGGGGAAGAGGAAGGGAGGTGCACCCGGATGATTGGGTAGGGCGGCCTGGGCGGGGGTCTCTCATGGAGAGGGGGCCAGGGACAGGTGGTGAACTGGGGACAGGTGAAGCTGCCGTGATGGGGGGGTGATGGCAAGTGGGGGCTGGGACAGGTGAGGCGGCCGTGAGTGGTGGGCCAGAGACAGGTGTGGCAGAGTAGGGGGCGGGGACAGGTGTGTGGGGGCGTCTCGGCCTGCGGAAGGCTAGGTCTGGCCACAATGCCTTCTGGAGGATGCCGGCCCCCTTTCTCCCCATTCCATCCCCACTGCCCTCAGCCAGGGGAGGACTCTGTGAGCACAGCTGGCCCTTCTCTCTCTCCTGGCCAGAGAGTATGGGCCAGGTGGTTGGACTGGAACTGAGCTGTGTTGCCCTTGGAGAATCACTTGGCCTCTCTGAGTCCAGAATTTTGAAGGCATAAGCATGGGCTAGTTCTCCAACTGGAGGAAGAATGCCCCTGGGCCTTAAAACTGAATTTTGGTAGGAACTTCAGGGAAGTGCAGATATGCTCAGGATACAGACAATGAAACCACTGTGCCATGTGGGTCTGTTTGTGTCCATGGGCATGTAAACATCCATGTGGTGTCATGGGCGAATGATAAAACTGGAGCGTGAAACATCTAGGAGATATGCTGAAATTCCTGAAATTGCCAAGGGGCTCACACTCCAACTAGTGTCTGGTGTATTTAAAACGCTTCCTTGAATTTCTGCCTGTCCTTAAGTGAGTCTGCAGTTTTTTTATTACTAGGAAAAAGAAAGGTGTTAGGAGTAACTGAAACATTGTTAATGAATTTGTGACTTGTCAAGGACCTCAGAGAACATCTAGATCAACACATAAGTGCACATATAAGAATAACATCTATTGGATGTTGGGCAGGGGGGAGGGGAGAGGGGAGGAGGGGATGGGTATATGCATACACAAAGAGTGCAATGCGTACCATCCAAGGGATGGACACACTTGAAACTTGGACTTGTGGGGAGAGGGGGGACAAGGGCAACATACGTAACCTAAACATCTGTACCCCCATTAATTTGTTGAAATAAAAAAAAAAAAACATCTAGTTCAACTCATGGAGAAATGGAGATCAGGAGATTGTGTGATGTGCTCGGGTCTCCCTGTACTCCTGACCTCTGCTTATGTGTGATAAGGGAGGGGAGAGTGCTCTGTGCTTGTCATGCTTCAATGCCAACCTGGGGCCATGGCTTTGACCATGCTACGAGTGCTGGGGGAAGGGTGTGTGTTCATCTCTGACCACACTGTGGGTCCTGGTAGGGGTGGCTGTGTTTCCGACCAGACTGAGTTCTGGTGGGTCGTGGCTCTGACTATGATATAGGTCCCAGTGGGGTTATAGGAGTCTATGAGCCCCACTGTGAGTCCACTCTGAGTCCTGAGGGACTATGGCCATGGCCTGGCCAGCCCTCCTTTGAGACTCTCCTGGAGGTGTGGAGTCTGAGGCCCCTCTTTCTTGTGCTTTAGCCAGTCGGGTTAGGGCTGTGTGGTGCTAACTAGGTGGGTGGCTGCTGTTATTACATAGAGGGGAAGGAGTGAGGACCTGGACTTTGGAGGCAGAACTCAAGCCACGTCCTGGCTCAGCTGCATGAGCCTAGGCCTAGGTTCCTCACATGTGGAATGGGACAGTCACTATCCATGTTCGGTGAAGCATCTGTAAGCCTTTAATGACACTGTACCCCTGCTATAAGGGGAGCAGGTAATTTCCTCATCACCACCATTCTTCCTTTGCTTCTTACTACATCTGGGTCAGGGATTGAAGAATCAGCTCCCTGCCAGCCCCCTATTATAGGTGGGAGGGAGCCGCAGCCCAGTGGGGAGGGAGCCTGCCCAGGTCTCACAGCCGCTGAGGCAGGGCCTGTGTTTCTCCAAACTCTTAAGTATGAGATTAAAATGTGGCTCTGGGGCCAGGTGTGGTGGCTCAGTTTGTAATCTCAGCATGTTGGATTGCTTGAGACCAGGAGTTAGAGACTAGCCTGGACAACGTAGCAAGAACCTATCTCTACAAAAAATAAGAAAAATTAGCCAGGTGTGGCGGTGAGTGCTTGTTTACTCAGGAGGCTGAGGCAGGAGGGTCATTTGTGCCCAGGAGTTCCAGGCTGCAGTGAGCTATGATGACACCACTGTACTGTAGCATGGGTGACAGAGCCAAACCTTGTTTCTAAATAAATAAATAACCAACCAACCAACCTTGTGCCATTAGTGTCTCAGGGTGTTCTCAGGGTGTTGGGGCAGGCTGGGCTATGGGTCCACACCTTCCTGGAGGAGGAGGTGCCACCCCAGAGGCTAAAGATGAGACCCACAGGTTGTGTGGGTGGTCCCAGAATTCACAGCAGAGAGTGGGTAAGCAATGAATGAACATGATGTTGTTGAAATGAAAGGGTTCCCCGCCAACCCCCCAGCCTAGATCCAGTTGCTTGTCTCACAGCAATCTAATTATTGGGACTAGGATTGCCAAGGAAGAAAGGAATTTTTAATACATCTTGCTGGGAGAAGCTGCCTCAAATCTGTCTCTCCAACTAAGGGATATCAAAGACTTTTAAAGGAGGGGCTACATGCCTTGACGACAGCTTGTGCATGATGGTGAATCTTGGTGTCAGGAAGTCTGCCCTGGGGGCTTCAGAATCTCAACTCCTTTGTTCTGTAGAAAATCCATTATTTCTGGATTTTCTGGGTGTGATGGCTCATGCCTACTATCCCTGCACTTTGGGAGGCCTAGGCTGGAGGATCACTTGAGGCCAGGAGTTCAAATCCATAATTTCTGGGAAACAACTCAAAGGGTCAAGTAGTTAGTTAAGGGAGAAGGTTATAAAAAACACATAGGGGTTCATGGAGCTGGTTACAATGGAACCCACCTGTGCAGCACTCCAGCTCCCAGTGCCTGCATTCATGCAGCCTTTTCCCATTTGCACAGTGACTTGTGACTAGGTTGATGACTACAGGAGGGTAAGGACCTTGGCGGGGGGTGGGAGTTGGTTTGATCACAGGGCTTTGTGGAGAGGAGGAAGCAGTGCCCACTGCTGGTCTGTGCTGTGTACTGGCTTTTCTCTGGGGTCTGGTCCCCAGCTTCTCAGGGCAGCTGGGCCTGGCTGATTGAGGGGTGTCTTGTGCCTCCTCCACCCCCACTCTCCATTAGCAATTCTTCCCCCACTTGATAAAATTTGGAGCCACACCTGAGGGCCTGGACACTGTTACCCTCCCCATCATTGGCCCCTCAGCTCAGAACTGGAGGAGCTCTGTGGGCAGGTGGGGCAGGGGATGAGGAGGAGACTCAGGGAGTATGGCATAAAGGACAGTGTTTGTCTGATGGCTTTTCTCAGCTGAAAGGTGGCAAAGTGGCAAGATTCTTCCTGAGTGAGGAGATGCCTGATGCATGCACAGGGCAGCAGGGGAGACTACTTTCTGTCCCCTCTGCACAGAGCTGCTATGCCATGCTGCTTTATCTTACAGAGCTCTTCTTTCCCCAGCCTGACCCAAGGAGATGGGAGCAGGTGCCAGTCAGGAATCAGTTCTGGAACCCACCCCGGGGACTTGGTCTGCTCCTTCGGTGGAAGTGCCAGAATGTGGGCACTGTCCATTGCCAGGCATGTCTTGGGCCTCTTGGCTCCTACGACTCTTGGGGCCTTCAGCACATTTACAAGAAAGGAACCAGGGAGGGAAGTTGGGCTGACGTATCTTCAGATTTCCTTCCACGTATGCTCAATGTTATGAGCAGTGCGTTCTGCTGTCTGTGGGTCCTTGTGGGCTCCGAGCTGCAGTTCTGCTACACACCCCAGCCACTCAGTCTGCATGCTTTGTTTCAGGGCCTGGAGCATGTCCCTTCCTTGCGGTGCCTTGGTTTGCAATTTCTCTGTTGCTGGGATTTCCCAGTGTTTTGCTGTAGTAAGCAGAGCTGTTGTGAATATACTTGAACTTTGGTTTTCTTTTGGGTCACTTCCTTGAGAGCTTATCTTAAGGAGCAGAGGTGATAGGTAATGTATTGCCTTGTTTGTGCCCAGGCTGGATTTGCTGCCCTGCCTGCCCACCTCGAACTGCACGTGTGGGGAGGTGGGGAGGGGGATGCTGTCATCGGCTGCTGTGGGAGGAGGCCAGGGCCATCCCTGGGGAGATGATGTGAAAAGGATACACAGAACCCCAATCCTGAGGTAATGGGAGTGCCCCTGAAGGAGCAGTGGGAGGGGAGGGGTGGCCTTATCAGCAGAAGCAGGGTGGGTGCAGGTTTTCCCCCCTGGTTAGTAGCAGATGCATTGCCCTTGGGTTGCTAGAGAGCCAGCCAGGAATTGTGCAAACTGGGCACTGGCCTTGAAGTTGCAAGTTCTTGCCAAACTTGTTTTCCTCTTACCTTAGTCAATGCTGAGGTTTTTCTGTAAGTTTCTTCACTGTCACTCACTGTCGGCCTGCGTTTCGTGGGGTCCCGTCCTTCTCAACCCCGAGGCTTGCAGTTTGGGTCACATTTCTACAAGGGCCATGCACAAGAGTGATGAAGCCCCCACTGGCAAGCAGGGCCCTTCTCTGCAGGGCCTGCCTGGGGCCAGGCTGCTGCCTCCACGCCTTATGTCCCAAGGGCAGTCGGTGCTGAGGTACACCTGTGTCCTTAGCTTGGTGTGCTGTCAGGGCAGGGCAGAGGGCACAGCTTCTCTGCAGTGCTCAGGCTTTTACATGGAGGTGGGGCTAGACATCCCTGAGGGATTATCATCCATCTCTGGGTTGTATCAGAGTAAGTGTCAGAGTCAAGATAGGAACCCAGACCTGTCTGACTCCTGGCCCCGCCTTATCCCTCCTGCCACCCAACAGAGGTTCCCCTGGGGCCTCTGTGCTCTGAGGGAGACAACTTGGGGGAGAAGCAGTCTGTCTAAGGAGGGCTACCAGGTTAAGGCACTTGCCGAACCAAGTGGGCAGAGGAGGGGCAGTGACAGGTCCCCACATCTGTCCATCTGCCTGTCTGCTATGGTTTTACCTGGCCCAGGTCCTAAGGATGATGAAAAGGAAGCTTCCTGAGGCTTCTGAGGTGAAACCACATTTGACCACATTGACAGCTGATCTGGGAGCCTTGTGTGGTGGCACATGCCTGTAGTCCCAATGACTTGGAAGGTGGCAGGATCGCTTGAACCCAGTTTGAGGCTGCAGTGAGCTATGATCACACCATTGCACTCCAGCCTGAATGACAGAGTGAGACACTGTCTCTTTAAAAAACAAAACAAAACAGGCCGGGCGCAGTGGCTCACGCCTGTAATCCTAGCTCTCTGGGAGGCTGAGGCGGGTGGATTGTTTGAGCTCAGGAGTTCGAAACCAGCCTGAGCAAGAGCAAGACCCTGTCTCTACTAAAAATAGAAAGAAATTAATTGGACAACTAAAAATGCATAGAAAAAATTAGCCAGGCATGGTGGCGCATGCCTGTAGTCCCAGCTACTCGGAAGGCTGAGGCAGAAGGATCGCTTGAGCCCAGGAGTTTGAGGTTGCTGTGAGCTAGGCTGATGCCACAGCACTCTAGCCCGGGCAACACAGTGAGACTCTGTCTCAAAAAAAAAAAAAAACAAAAACAAAAAAAAACCCATCTGGGTTACATGAAGCTGGCAGTTCTGCTACCTTGGTATCTGTCCTAGCCAGCCAGGGTGTAAGGCTGTACTCAGACCCTTCCCCACCTGTAGCCTCGGCAACTTCTCGGGTTGGCACACTGATGTGGTGGGACGTGAATGGTGGTGGGCGGGCTATCAGAAGGAGCGTCCTTGGGGCATCAGTCTGGGTCTCTGGTCTCAGCCCCTTGCGGTCCTTACCCTGGAAGGCTTCTACGTGCCCGCTCCCTGCTCCTGCCCGTAATTCCTCAGCAGCAGCTCTGCCAGGCCCCAGGCCCCTGAGCGGCTCACGTGCCGCAGGGCTGCTTCTGCTCCAAGTGAGCAGTCTGGAGAGAGCAGACTTGAGAGTGAGGTGACCAGGACTGAGGGTGAAGGGGTACAGGTGGGCACAGAGATGCCATGGAGAAAGGACTCATTAAAGAAGTAGCTTTGGAGCTGGGCTTTGTATGATGGAAAGTTCACCGCAGGGAGGAGGTATGCAGTGGGCTGTGCGTGCTGGGAGTGCTGAATGATTATTGGGGTGGGGGAGATGTGAGAGCATTAGGGTGTAGCTCTCTGGGTGGCAGAGACTGGGCTTTGAATACCCCGCTGGGTCTTGGCTTTGTCCTTCATGCGTTGGGAACTCCCTAGCAGTGTTAGCCAGCGGCATGGCCAGTTGAGCTTTACACCTGGTGGTGCACATCGGGATGAGAAGGGCTGGTGAGATCCCAGGGCATCTACCAGAGCCCCAGACTGGCCTCGGGAAGGGGGACATGCCAATCGTGGCTTGAGACCGGGTTCTGGGAGCACTCATAGAGCTGTCTGATGCCAGGAGGCCAGGAAAGTACATCTGGTACAGGGTGGGTGCAGCCTCCTGTGCCCTGAGGCTGAGAGACCACAGGCAGAGAGGGAGGGACACACTGGGAGGGGTGCTGGCCCCGTTCTGACCCTGTGTGCTGCTTGTCTTTCAGTTTGCATGACCAACTGCCCGACGCTCATTGTCATGGTGGGTCTGCCTGCCAGGGGCAAGACCTATATTTCTAAGAAGCTGACTCGATACCTCAACTGGATCGGTGTGCCCACTCGGGGTGAGGCTTAGCCCAGCTGTCTAAGGGGACATTGGGGCTTTGTGGGGCAGAGGGAGGAGAAGAGAAAAGGCTGGATGGTGGGCAGGGCCTGGGGGTGGGTCAGCATCAGGAGTTGTGGGGGTTGCCATTGCTATGAAAGCCGAGCCTCTCCTTCCTCCCAGAATTCAACGTTGGCCAGTATCGCCGGGACATGGTCAAGACGTACAGATCATTTGAGTTTTTCCTCCCAGACAACGAAGAGGGCCTGAAAATAAGGAAGTATGTTGGGGGCAGGGTGAGGGCGGGGGTGCACCGCTGTTGCGAAGGCTAACGAGTGACTGCCTGTTTACTGAGAAGCCCCTGGAGCCTAGTTGCAGGTGAATGGCCGAGTCACTCCTGAGCCCTGGCCTTGCTTCCCCAACGGCTCTGACAGGGCTGGTCTCTTGACCTCTTAGGATGTGGTGGCCTTGGGATGTGATGGGTTTGGGGATGAGAGGAGAGGGTGTGTAGCCTCCTCTTGGCTAGCCTGTTCCGGCCCTGGTGTTAAGGAGCCCGTGGTAAGGACATCCTTGAGAGGGGAGGGTGGAGCTTGAGGAAGCAAGAGGTCTCCCCAGGGCTGGTTGGGCTGCGCGTGGGGGTCATGCTCGCTCACCCAGGCCCTCCATGGGGCTGCTGGTGTGGAGGGGAGCCTGAGTGGGTGCAGGGACACAGGCCTCAGGCATGGGGGGCTTTCCTCCCTTGCCCCAGGATGAGCTCCCTCCTGTGTATCTGGAGCATATTTGCTGTATGCTTGGCATGTTCTTGGTGTGTGTGGAACCGGCCTTGGCTTTGCTTTGAGGTTGCCTAGATGCTGCTGGGTGAGTAGTTCACACTCCTGCTGTTATTCATGAGATGGAAATTTATATATGATAACTGCCCCTCCACCCCCCCCATACAATTCAGGCTTGAGCTGAGCACCAGCTGGGGGATCAAGAAGCCCCTTGTCAGCCCAGGGTGACAGAGACTTGCTTTTAGCCCAGTCATCAGGGCAGGGCAGCGACCTAAGGTTGGCCCAGCTCTAGTGATATCCCGAAATCAAGCCCAGCCCGAGGCCACAGGCCACTGAGGTCTGGACCTTCTCTGGCCACCAGGGGACAGGAGCTCCCCACTGTGGGCCTGGACCTTCAGGCTAGAGACTGCTTTCATTCTCTAGGCATTGGGGCTGGGCCAGGCTGCAGCACTGAGAAGGAAAAGGGGGCCTGACATTCAGGTTTCTGTGGCCAAACTGTCGGTAAAGCTCAAGGACGGACCCTCTGGTGGTATCAAGCCAGATAAAAATGAAAAGACTAATATTTGAACCTACTGTGTGCTGGGTGCTTGATGCCTGTTGTCCCCCACACCCCCCTTTTACAGGTGAGGAAACTCAGGCTCAGAGAGACCAAGAATCTTGCACAAAGTAACAAGTTACTTCGCAGAGCCCAGGCCTTAATCTAAGCCCCTCTACCACCAAACACTGCCCATCATTCCAATATTATTCAGTACGAAGGTCAAGGAACATATCATATGCAAATCTTAAAACAACCCCAAGCTGTAGGCACTGATAGATGAGCTCATTTGATCTTCCCTACAGCTTTCACGGTGGGCGGTGGTGCCTTCCTTTCCCAGATGCTGAGACTGAAGTCAGAAAGTGGCGTTGTTGGGGGGTCCCTCAAGGTTTGAATTTGAAGCCAGGCCTGTCTGAATCTGTAGTGTTTGTAGGAAGAGTAAGGGAGCTGGCATTCCCAGAGTCTACCAGCCATTCCACTCAGGCTGCCCATCAAAGGTAGGGATATTGGGGTTAATTCAAATGGGGAGACCTAGACTCAGAGAGAGTGGGAGCTAGTCTAAGGTCACCCTGCAATAGAAGCTGGGGGCAGGTTCATGTGCTGCTTTTCTGCAGGCATACCTGCCACTGTTCCTAGAAACCCTCCCTCTTGTATCCAAAGCCTGGGTCTGGCCACTGGGCCACAGGCCCATTCCCATTAACCAGCCCCAAATTTCCCATAAGTAATTGGCAGAATTAAAGGACTGGAGTTTTTAAAATGGAAAGCCTGGGAAGAGAGGGCTGCATTTCCCAGAGGTCTAGTTACTCACACACCATTGAGGTCCCTAGAGCTACACGGTGTTGAGGTCCATCTCTGACACTAGACCCAGTGGAAGATCTAGAAAAGTGCATGCACAGTCATATGTGCACATAAAAGGGCACATGTACACATATGTTATCAGGCATACTCATACTCTTGCATGCAGTCCCATACCACATACAAGCCTCCTACACACACACACACATGGGCACATGTGTACATGTGCATACCTCATAGGTACACATCTGGACACAGACATATACCCCATAGGTAAACAAGGGCGCATACATACACATATACACCCCCATGCACACAGTCACACTATATGTGAGGGTATGTGCACACATGTGGGCACCCACATGTATAGATATGAGCCACTGGGCTGGCCCAAACCCACTTGTATAAATACTAGGGCTCACTCATATTTGTAGTCACACACAGCCACACACCACACACAGGACAAGTATACACAGGCACCCATGTGCTGTACATACATATACATCTGTCAGGGGTCCCCAAGACCACCTTCAGTTTCAGCGAATTACAAACTGACTCACAGGACTCACATATAGTGGGACTCTTGGCTAAGATTTATTACAGCAAAGTGATACGAGGCATAATCATTGAAATCACTCCAGAAAAGGAGCCTGGGATGAAGTCCAGAGGAAACCGGGAGTGAGCATCCAGGATTCCTCTCCAATGGAGTCATGCAGGATGCACTTAATTCCTCTAGCAGTGAATTGTGACAACACAGGTGAAGTGTATTCCAGGGAAGTTCACTGGAGACTCCGTTACCAAGGATGTTACTGGGGGCTGGTCACATAGGTGCCCTGTGCCTAGCACGTACCAAATGTCCAGACTCCCAAAAGGAAAGCAGGTATTCAGCATAAACCATACTGTTTGTATAAACAGTCTAGACACAGTGAGCTGCTCTTACTACTTAGGGAAAGTTTTATATCAGTGTGGGGAACTGTTTACCATTCAAGTTCCTGGACCCTAGCAAGGCCCAACCTTGCAAGCAGGCCTTTTGAGGGGTAGCATTCTCAGGCCTGCTGTGTTAACTCTTCCATACACATGCAGTCACCCACCACACATGAAGGTGGGTGCACACACACATGCATACCTCATAGGCACGTGTGTCAGCACATATACACTTGTTCTCCCCCTGTATGTACACGTGGGTCTGTGCACACGTACACACCAAGCATGCTCGTGTATGTGCTCGCAGTCACATAACACATGAAGGTATGCGTACACATATGGGCACAAACATGTACATCCTGTGTTTGTGTGTGTGGACACACAAAAAAACCTTATGCACATCAGTGCATACACACACATGTCCCGTGTGCACACATGTGGCACATTCCTTTATACCTGTGCTCATTCAGTCACATACCACACATGAGGGCTTGGGCACACTATGTATATCCATAGCTACACTCCCATATGGGCCCAAGAAATACTCACGCTTGCACACTCACAGACTTACATGTATGCATATGGGCACGGCATACTCACACATACCTGCCCATACATGTGGATGCATGCATATGTGCACACATCACACTCACATACACATATGTACACACAGGCTCCCAGGCTATTCCCTCAGCATCTTCACTGGGCCCTGAGATCCCCCAACATGGTGGAGTCGTGGCCAGAGCAGCCCACAAAAGAGATCTGAGCCCAGAACATGGGGGTCAAAATGCAGGTGGTAAGAAATGGCCCCAGTCGGCTGGGCGCAGTGGCTCACGCCTGCAGTCCCAGCATTTTTGGAGGCCAAGGCAGGGGGATTGCTTGAGGCCAGGAGTTTGAGACCAGCCTGAGCAACATAGTGAGACTCCCATCTCTAAAAAAAAAAAAAATTAGCTCACATCATGGCCTGAGCCTGTAGTCCCAGCTACCCGGGAGGCTGAGGCAGGAGGATCGCTTGAGCCCAGGAGTTTGAGGTTGCTGTGAGCTATGATGACATCATTGCACTCTAGCCCAGGCAACAGAGTATGTATGGCCTTGTCTCAAAAAAAGAAAAAAAAGAAAGAAATGGCCCCAGCAATGTCTTCCACCTTATAGGAACAGAGTTAACCAAAGATTGAAAATTATTACAAGGAAAGAGAAGAGAAACCTTAAAGAGAAAGAAGGGGACCAAGAGGCTGTCTCTTCTCAGACAGCTGGGGTTGCATGCTGGACTGACCCTGTGTTTTTTCTCCTGAAGACAGTGTGCCCTGGCAGCCCTCTGTGATGTCCGGCGATTCCTTAGTGAGGAGGGGGGACATGTGGCGGTGAGTATGACACTCTGGTGACAGCTGGGAATGACACATGGGAGCCCACTCACATCTGTGCCTTTGCTCATCAAACATCTGTAGGGGAAGGCAGGGCGTGTGAGCCCTGGGTGTCCCTGGGCGCTGACTACTGGGAGGAAGTCTGCGGCAGCTGAGCCGGAGGAAGCAAGATCTGGGTCTGGGCCAGGAGTTTCCCTCTGGACGTGTGTCTGCATTTGGCCCTGCAGAACTTCCCTCTGAATACTTGTACTGTTGGCCACCCCAGAAGTTACCAGTATCATGTTACCCAAGTCTTTAGTAAATGTGATTTTCCCGATGTAGGGAGAGTCCTACCCAACATCTACTAGCTGTTGCAGGAACCAGCTGAATCCTGGGAATTCCACCTGTGTGTTGGCCCCTCCAGTCATGGGACAGGGCTGAGATGGGGTATCTTTGGGGAAGAGCCTACCCTAAGCCTATATAGTCAAACACGGGAGCTGTTCATTACCTTCCTTTTTCCTTCTAGAGCTCTCTGTCCCCCAGCTCCAATCTGAATTAGTTGCCTGTGGCACAGCTGTCACCCTGGGACATTCTTTCTCCTTTCTCCTGGGCTGAATGTCCTGCTCCTGGATCCCATCCATGTTTTCCTCTCCTTGGTTTACTGACTCGTTTTGTTGAAGCACATCTGATAGTAGCTTTCTGAGAAAGGTGCTTGGAAGGTAAATTGTGTGAGACTTTGCAAGTCCGAAATGTCTTTTTTTAATCCTTGCATTTGATGGTTGAGTATTGAATTCTATACTCAATTTAGAGTATGCTGTATACTTTATACACAATGGGAAGGACTTTTCCCTTAGAATTTCCATGACAGCATTGCTCTGTTGTCTTGTGGCTTCTAGCATGGCCGTGGAGAAGTCTGATGTTATTCTGATTTGATGATCTTCCTAAAAGTTTCATGTCTTGGAGGGAGCTGGGGACTTCTCATGCCCCTTCCTCTTGGGAGGAAAACCTTTAGGGGAGGCCTTTAGGGTCTTTAGGGTCCTTTCTTTTCCACCGTGTTGGGTCTTAGGGAGCCCTTTCCATCGGAAAACACTTGTCATTCAGGTCAGGGAAATCATCACGTTTTATTTCTTTGATAAACCCCCTCTACCACTTTCTGGCAAGCTATTCCCTCTCATTTTCTAAGCTGCTTTTTCTAGAACTCCTGGTGGCTGCATGTCTGGCGTGATCCCTAATTTTACCTTTTTTCCTTTATTTTTTCTTTGTCGTTTTTGTTTTGAAGGAGGCTTCCTCAGCATTATCTTACAAATTTGGTTGAATTTTAAAAGAAATTTCTATAGTCACATTTTAAATTTCTCGTTCTCTGAGTGTTCCAATTTCTTAGAACTCTGCTCTTATTTCATGGTTACTATATCCTTTTGTATTTCTCTTTGGATGATTTTGTAAGTTTTTTGGATATTTTTTTCTGTTCCATGCCCCGTCTTCATTTTTGCCAAGTTTCTTCTTTTCTGTTTGATTGATTTAGATTCTGTTTTCTCATTAGAGGTTTTGCTAGAGTGTCTGGTAAGCCCTAGTTGGATGCCCTTTTTTAAAAAGTGATGCTGTAAAAGCTGCTTGGACGTGCTGGTGGGTGCTGGTGGGTGGGCTACATGGGGGGGTGCTTGGACAGGCCCAGGCCCCAGGCACTTCCCCACGGAGCCCCGGGTGGGTCAATGCTTTGCCGGGTAGGGTTCGGGAGGGGGCCTGGAGCTCCAGATGCGTTTTGTCAGACCTCCAGCCAGTCCTCCCATTTCTTCCCTACCCTTGTCCCTTTATAAAGAGTTGCCTGTGCCCCATTCCTGAGCACCCCAGTCCCGTGCAAGTGGTTGGCGAGCATTTACGTTTGGTTTTCTCCTTTTGTCTGAATCGGTCATTATGTGTCTCTCTTACAAAATTCTGTTGGCGTCTCCACCTCCTGTCCTCTCCTCGCTTGTTCTCGTTAACCTCTGTTCCTATTTTTCTGGGGTCTCAGGATGCAGCAGAAATAAACATAGGTTCAGTTCATCCAGTTTAACTGGTCTAACTGGAATTCCTGTTGGTCAAACACAAACTGAGCACCTGCTGTGTGCAGAGCAGTGCTGAGTACATTCTTCTGTGCCAAGAGTCTGCTCCTCTGCTGGGAGCACTAGCACCCACTCCTTCCAGCTTCCTGGGACATCCTCCCTAAGGAAGGGGAGGACCATCCTGGTCCTTGCAAGTCTGAAGGAGACTGGCCAGGCAGGTGGCCCTGCTGGTTCTGCTGACCTGCAGCTGGTCCTGGCAAGAAATCCAGTCCCCAGAGATGCCTGTGCTGCAGCCCTTGGGTGGCCTCCTACCTTCTCCAAGACTAGAGGCTGAGTTAACCCCAGTTTGGTCCTAGGTTTTTGATGCAACGAATACCACCCGAGAACGGAGAGCGACCATCTTTAATTTTGGGGAACAGAACGGCTACAAGGTGAGGCCTCCTTGGCTGCTGCCCTTCGTGGGGCTGTGGCACGTCCTGGCCCTCTGGGGCTCCTTTCACAGCCTCCTGATGCATGCAGGGTGTCAGGCTGGCATGATTCCTGGTGTAACTTGGGATGAGAGGGGCTGTTCTCTTTTCTCCACCTAGAGTTTTCCTTCCAGGGGAAAGAGGTCTTGGTGGGAGGGTCCAGGACAGGGTGGCATCTGTTTTAGCTCCATGCTGCTTGGCCCTGTCCCTACCCCCCAGAAGAAAGGCCTTTGGGGCCCAGCTGCTGGTCAGCATGGCCTTCAGTGGGGTGGAGAGAGCTCCATGGAGCAAGGCCCAGGGCCTAAACGTGCTTGCGGTTCCTTCTCTGCTGCCCACCCTGCGCTCCTGGCCCTGCTGCAGACCTTTTTTGTCGAGTCCATCTGTGTGGATCCTGAGGTCATAGCTGCCAACATCGTGGTGAGTGGTGCGTCTGACCTTGTCAGGGACAGTAATAAAACAGAAGGTCGCATGTGACAATGAGTCCCTTTCCAGGTTTTGGCTGACCTTAATTTGATCTTCTTGAACCTTGCGGGGTAGGGAGGCAGCGTAACCTCAAACGCTAGGGCTGTTGTGGCTGGTGGGCATTCTTTCCTACTCCCCTCTTACCTTCCCTCTGTCTCCTCCTCTCCCCTCCTAATTTTTGTTAAGGGAGAGAGCAACTTCAGCCAGGGTGGGGGTGTTTACATTTGAGAGAAAGAGACCAGTCCTCCAGTCCACCCCAGTTTATCTAAGGAATGGCCATCTGCATTTGGGGAGATAGTTCAGGGTGGGGAAAGGCTTCCAGGCCTCCCCCTGTACTGCAAACATGATCTCAGGGCGCAGTGGTACCCTGTCGGCACTGGTGTGAGGCTGCAGACCCAGGAGCTGCTGCACCCTTCCTAATGAAGGCCAGCCCTCTGGGGTGGCTTCCAGCCTCAGGCACCCGCCCCAGTCCCTGCCCAGTAGTCTTGGCCTCTCGCCCTGCCTGGCTTCCAGCTCTCATGTGTCCTTGCTCTGTGCCTGGCTCCGGCAGCAAGTGAAACTGGGCAGCCCTGACTACGTGAACCGAGACAGTGACGAGGCCACGGAGGATTTCATGAGGCGCATTGAGTGCTATGAGAACTCGTATGAGTCGCTAGATGAGGACCTGGACAGGTGAGTGAGGAGAGCACCTTGTCCCGCCGCTATGATGGGGGGGTGGTGCACTTGGCCACCTCCTTGTGGCTCCCCAATGTGGTGTCCGGGGGACTACACCAAAAGGCAGAGATGGTCTGACCTTTTTGTTTCTTTCCTCGTGGCAGAAATAATTGACCAGAGGTGACTTGCAGAACACCTGTCACCTCATCTGCAACTCTGTGAGTCAGGATTTTATACTGTTCCATCATAAAATCAAGCCAAATTTCTATGCAAAGGATCTTCCCACAAGGCATTTATACACATTACATGCTCTCCTTAAATGTGTGGTCTGTGTTTTGGGAAGTGGGAAAGGGGTCCCAGCCCCTGCCTGGGAACAGCTGGCAGAAACAGTGCTTGGTAGCTCCACCAGCCTCCCTCTGGAATGGCAGATCCAGCAAGAGTGTTGGGTGGGAAGGGGTTTTTATGCCTATAAGCGGCATTTAGCTGAGGGTCTTGTAGCTGGGGTCACAAGCTTTGTAAAGGATCAGATAGTAAGTATTTTATTTAGGCTTTTTAGGGTATACAGTCTCCAGTCTCTGTTGCAGTTACTCAGCTCTGCTATTATAGTGCAAATGAAACGGAGATAATATGTAAATACATGAGCATGGCTGTGTTCCAATGGAACTTTATTTATTTATTTTTAAAAATTTTTTTGTTTTAAGAGACATGGTCCTACTCTGTCACCCAGGCTGGAGTGCAATGACGTGATCATAGCTCACCACAGCCTTGAACTCTGGGGCTGAAGCGATCCTCCTGCCTCAGCCTCTCGAGCAGCTGGGACTACAGGTGTGCACCACCAAACCTGGCTAATTTTTGTTTGTTTGTTTTAAGACAGGGTCTTGCTTTGTTGTCCCGGCTAGAGTGCAGTAGTGTGATCATAGCTCACTGCAACCTCAAACTCCTGGGCTCAAGTAATCCTCCTACCTCAGCCTCCCGGGTAGCTGGGACTACAAGTGTGCCCTACCACACCTGGCTAATTCTATTTTTTGTAGAGATGGGGTCTTGCTATATTGCCCAGGCTGGTCTTAAACTCCTGGCCTCAAGCAATCCTCCCACCTCAGCCTCCCAATGTGCTAGGATTATAGGGGCCATTATGCCCGGCTCCAGTGAAACTTTATAAAGATAGCCCGCAAGCTGAATTTGACTTGCTGGCCATAGTTTGCCAACTCCCGTCATGCAGTATAAATGGGCAGTGTAGCCTTCAGTAAAGTATTGCACAGTCATTATAAATCATAATTATGTAGAAACATGGGAAAATATAATGCAGCATTAAGTGAAAAGGCTGGGATATAAACTGTGCTTGGGTCATTTATAGTTATATAAAAATATGTAATGCACATGAACCAAGGAAAACAAGCAACTGTTAGAGGGGTGGTTTGGGGTATTTATACAACAGTTGTCGCTGGGCTGGCCATGCATCTCTGCTCAGCGGGGCTCTGGAGGCAGCCCCAGTCTGGAGCGGAATGACACTGCTGCCCGGGCCTGTCCGTCTTCCATGTTTCCGTTGGTGTCCCCAGTGCGGCATTTCTCCTCATGGCTCTGCGGTATGCCCACATTACAGGGCTTGTCTGGAGCAGTTGCTATTGGACTTGTCAGTAAACATTTCTCCCATTTTTATTGGTGGTGTCAGTATAACACCCCCAAGCTGAGGTCGCACGGTCCAGACACCGAGAACTCAAAGGAGAATATCCCGAGGGCTCTCGGGCCGAACCCGAGCCCACCCCGACCCCGCCTGCATGAACAGAGAGGTGTGCCCTCCGGGCTGCAGTGTGCACAGGTCCCAAGTAGGAAAAGAGGCCAGGCTGGGTTTATCGGCTGCTGCCACCAGCACCATCCTCCTCTACTTCTTGTTTCATCCACCAGCTGCCTAGTATGGGTTGTGGCAGCCGCTCGGCACACATGAATGACCTGGACCGGGCTCTAGGGGGAGGAGGTCACTGGAGAAGGAAAACCCAGGTCCATGGACAGCTGACCAGGCAAAGTTGGGGAGTGGAGCATTTGCCAGCTGCTCCCAGGTTGATCCTGGGGAAAATTGTCTCTTGGTTCGGCCTACGCAGTGCATTGAGAGAGCTCAGAGGTAGGCAAGAAGGGGTCTGGGAACACAGGAGCAGTGGTAAAAATCACAAAGTGGTATGGCTGTCCCCCTGCTTTGGATGTCACCTTTTGGAAGCATGATGAGTGGTGAGCACCTCCCACAGGGTGTGTCTGCGCCTCACGCGTGTTGCGTTGCTCTCACCTCACCCCCACCACTCTTGCACCAGTTGACAGTCCTGTAGGTTGTGACTTTGAGTCTGCTGATCAGAGACGCAAGGCCCCTCAGTGGTTTCTGTGGCCGGCCAGATGTGCCTCCGAGGACCCTCGCCACACTCACAGGCCTCTCTTTGCCTTCTCTCTGGAAAGGGATCTGTCCTATATCAAGATCATGGACGTGGGCCAGAGCTACGTGGTGAACCGTGTAGCTGACCACATCCAGAGCCGCATCGTGTATTACCTCATGAACATCCACGTGACCCCCCGCTCCATCTACCTCTGCCGGCACGGGGAGAGTGAGCTCAACCTCAAAGGCCGGATCGGTGGGGACCCAGGATTATCCCCCCGGGGCAGGGAGGTCAGTGTGTGTGTGTCTATGTGTGTCTGTGTATGTCTCGGTGTGTGTGTGTGTGTGTGTGTGTGTGTGTGTGTGTGTGTG